GCTGTCAGGTAGGCCACATAAAGCCCACATGAATTAATTTTTGATAGATAAAATGGATGCAATGAACAAAAGACAGAAGAATTTCAATCTGCAGCACAGGGGACAGAGCTGCATATCTTCGCAATTAATGTCAGCACTACACTTGAGTTGCTTTGGCTTTGTACCTGTAACGATATCAGCATTATCGGGGCATCAACAATCACAAGATTTCCTAACTGCTTTTGTTATTTCGGTTCATTCCTAAAGTGATTCTGAGGCAGATGTTTTATTACATCCTAAACACCAATATGAAATTGATTTTAATCAATCAGCTCTGGTGTGACCTTCTAGTGATTCAAGGAAACTGACAGGGAGAAGTGGAAGTCAATATTCTTGCAAACCTGAACCGATGCGACGCATGCACAGAAACTTTCTGCAAGCAAAGGACAAGGTACAGGGTGCACTGTAGCTGTGTACCCCATTTCATTCCTTCGGACAGTAATGCTTTCAGAGCAGAGGACCTGCAGTCAAAACACTGCAGTTTCAGCTACCTGAAGTTCAGTACACCAGGGAGAAAGGTACAAAACATTACTTTACACACAAAAAATTCTGAAAAAGCAAAGTAGGATGAAGAGTAAAGATCAATGTTAATTTTCAGAGCCACACCTTAATGCAGTAACCACAGCTAAGAACACATCCAGAATTCCCACAGAAAACTCTAAGGGATTACTGGAAAGGATTTAGACACAGCAAACCTTTCAAAACACTGCTATATTATAAAGCAGTGCTTGCTTCCTATGCTCTAAAGTACAGAAAGACTGAACGTTTTTACACTCATTCAAACCTCAACTTTATTTGTACTATCACTGCACCTAAAAAAACACAACAAACCTTAAACTACTTTAGACCTTAGGTCAAATTAGCACTGCCAGCTATGCTTGTTCCACAAATTTAAGATCTATGCTATGAACTCAGAAAGGAAGGACCATTTTCCACGTAGGTGAACAAAGGTCCTAGCAATATTTAATGACTTTCTAATGGTCATTTATTAAGCCTGGCAGATCTACGAGCCAAACCAAGATCTTACAATTCAGTGGTTCAGTCACAGGGCCACGTTCTGCTTATCTGGACATCACAGAAAATGTACCTGTGGGATGGAATGGGTGAGAGAAGGCTCATGCTCTTCCAAACTCCTCTGGATACAGTTTTCAGAAGTTCAACATCAGAAAAATACATTTTACAAAGACTAACGCTAAACCCCCTGAGGGGGAAGAAAAGAAGGAAGAGGGGGGAAAGACCTTTCTATTCTCCTCATGAGCTTATCTGCTGATTTACACGGTAACAGAGAGCTGGGGAGAGGCTCCTGTTGGTCTCGGAAAGCTTCCCACAGGGTGTTTTGATGGCAAGTATAACGCAAAAAAAATTACAAATGACTTTACATTTCCATAGCAAAGATATACTGGATAATCTATTCCTATCGTGATTCTTCTCACAACCTTAGGGTTTTAACAGATAGAAACATCCAGTTTTGCTGTTATCCATGGTCCCATTATTGCTGTAACTTTTAATTAGAGACATGTTTACCTGAGTAGTATTCATTTAGAGCTTATAAAATATACACACTGAAATTTTCAATAACTTTTCAAGTCCTTCAGCATTGTACACGTGGGGCATAAATACCCATGAATTCTTCTCAAAATGAAATTACTGTTTATTATGTTATTAGGTTTGTGGTACTTTTCATTTCTCCTATGGGAATCAGTAGCAAGTCTCCCTGAAACTAAGTACAGATGCTCGGAGTACCAGCAGTGATTTTACACCTAGGCATGCACTTGCATTTTTATAATCCCGTACCTCAGTGCTAATGCACTACAAAAACCCAATGCCAGGATGATGATAATGAGAGAAAGCTCATGTCAGAGCGATACCTGATTACAATAAGAGACATTTTAACATGTTTCAAGCACTTCTTTTAAGAATAAGATATTGCGATGCTGGAACCTACTGTTTCCAGGCACTCAGCAAATTTCCCTGAGCCTGTGTCCATTCTTACAGCGAGTTCTCTCAAATCCATTAAATGTCTGTATTTTTATTAACTCAGGGTTTCTTTTTGTGTCATGAGGCACTCAGATGATGGGAAGTGCCAGAGATTTGGAACAAATGAAAGCACACATGGCCAAATATCCTGCATTAACCTTTTGTTAAAGAAAAATAAAATCAGGATTCTAAAGCATTGTTTAGAAACAGAAACAAAAAATATAGGAAAAACTGACACCTGAGCTAGATGGTGAATGTTCCAAGTAAACAGAGGAAGCAAGCACCTTGTATTTCATGGTTTTGGGGGTTCTTGATTGTTTACTGTTTATTTTACACATGCTTTTAAAAAGGAGACTGTATTAAAATACAATCTTACACTTCCTACTGAATCTCCCTCTGAAGATCAAATACATGGAAGTGCCAGCAAGTAGCATCTTGTTTCCAATTATCCACTCACCACAGATCAAAAAAGTAATAAAAATGAGTTCTACTGACAAGCCAGTTATATTTAAATATATGGACACTGAAATAGTCACAATGATAACAATTAATTTTTAAAAAAATAATGGCCTAAAAAAGCTCATTTAAAATGGTAAAACTATAGGTATATGCAACAATCAAAGCTACCAGTACTTTTCCAAAAGACAACAAAATACAGAAATACCTGGAAAGGGTTATTTTAAAACACAGTGGTATAAAAATGGTGCAGGTGGGGGTCTCTTTTCTGATGCCTTTTAAGAAAAAAAGAAAGGAAGAAAACAAGCCCTCTATCAAAACCATGTATGCCAAGTTTTAGCCCAGAGCAAGTTTTCACAGCTATGTTACAAACCCTTGAAAATAAAGGTTTATAATGGAAATGCTGACAGACCCTTAACCATAGCAGCATGAATACCTATAATTAAAGCAGAGCTTTTGGCTACACCTCACTCTGCAAATGAAAGATTGCTATTTTTACAATACTCTCAAATAAAAGCAAGTGGGAAACCTGGAACATGATTCTAGCAACGCAATAAGATATGTTAAAGGGGACTGCTAAAACTATTTGACATTTTAAGCTTTAAACACTGAGACATTTAGTTTAATGCACCTAAGTCAGTATTTTCATAATGCTCCTTAATCAGCAATAAAGAATGCTCCTGTGAGCCATCATCCGTGGTTAGCAGAAAATGGCACATGAAGTTGTTATTTCCTAACAGCCTAGAGGGAGCTGCTTCACTTTAATCAGTGATCTCACTTCCTTCCTACCTGCAAATTCTCTATTGTACAGTTATAAAACTATTAGCGTGCAATGTGCAGAAAAAATTACATTTATGAAAGGCCAACTACCTTGTATCTGCCTGAATTTTAAAAACAGGAGAGAAATCGCATTGAGCCATTTCATCCCTTCCCACATTTCTAAACAGACCAGGTATTACCAGTCTGGTTAAGCCAATAATACTTTCACCTTTGGTTAGCACAGTCATCCAAATTTTCTGAATGAAGAAAATCTTATTAGCGTTGTTTTACTCGTATGTTGACAGAGGACTATTTCCAGTGAATCTGTCAAAGTGCAAGAGAGAACCAGCAACACTTCACTGTTTCCCATACCACCAAGATCAAAGTGTTTTATAAACCTCAGGGAAATTAAACCTTGTAATTGATGGGATAAATAGGCTGATAACCAAATGTATAAATACAGAAGCTGAAATAAAGAACAGTTAAAAACAAGGCTGTAACAATACCTAACATGCCAAACACTATTTGAGCATGTTGGTAATTCAAACATTTCATCAGACCTGCTTTTAATAAAGAAGAGGTATGAATACTGTACTGTATATCGCCCATGATGGCCTGAGAAGTCTGTAATAGACTTCTGTGCCCTTTTGTCTATATTACAAAAGGACTACATAACTCTCAAGTTTTGGAAAGCTTCAGAACAATGTCAAGTTATGAAATAGGCAACTTTCACAAGTCTCCCTACTTCATCTTAAAAAAGCAACACTACAAATACAGTGTATTAGCTAACGGAGAAAATGTCAAAGTATTTTTGAAGTCTCCAATTTATTCCAGTAAATACATTCCGTTGAACTGAAATAATAAATAATAAATCAACTAAACTTAGTTTCATGCTTCATCTTTTTTCAAAAGACTGCCTGAAAAACAGTTGTCTTCGGATGTATAAGCTATTGACAGCCGCAGTCAAACTACTAGACAATAACAAAGAACCTAGCTGAAGAGAGACCTTGCATACGGGCCTCACTGTTCCTATTATGCACTCTTCCACAGCTCTTTCCACATATTTCAGTCTTGCACATTTGAAGTAATGGCAGATCAATAGCTGCTTCTTAATATAAATATAAAAAAAAGCAGTTTGGGCTTCAAACTGGAAGACTACCTCTAAAAGGCATCAGTAGACAAAAATATGCTTATTATTGAAGGGCACTCTAGATGTTGAAACCTGAACTAGTACATCAAAGCAAAACTGCTTCCAAGTGGTAAAATATGATTTCCTTCTTTTCTAACAAACCTTAGACAAGTATTTAAGACTCCATAACTGTTGTGTTTGATTGCAACCTTGCTGAAAGAAGAAAAAAGAATTAGAATGAAGTCAGAAAAACATAAAATTCACTGGGGAAAGAAAAAAAACACCACAGGAAAACGTTACTTCAGTAATTTAGTACAGATAATTGTTTCAAAATTTCCGGTGCCCAAAGAAATAATACCTGAAACAGTGGCAACTGAATGACTTTCTACAGTGTCACTAATTCGTTACAAAATATCAAGGGCAGCAAACCTTCGTTAACTGAAATAGTAAGGAAACATTTCTAAAATTCTAAATGCAGCAGGGCACTGGCAGATTTCAAAATTTAACATATCATTCACAATCCTCTAAAGCTCTCTCTTACCTTTTGCTACACTTCAGTAAGAAATTAGTATGAACTACAGCTTAACCCGAACACTAAATGCATTCCAGTCTACACCCACGGTCTAACAAAATAACTTACCTAAGTCTGGCTAGAACAACCTGAAGAAAATTCAGGACCATACTCAGTTCAGCTCCTCGACAAGCAGGCAGCAGCATAGTAAAGCCATCATTTAGTAACTTTTCCTCAGAAAGGCCCAAGTAGCAGCTAGTCTCAAACACTTCTTGGACACCATCAATGTACGTTGAAAGTAGAGTCCAGAGATTTTGTTTCTGTGTGTAGTCATTTTTGGCTACTAAAAATTCCTTTGCTTTGTCACGGAAAGCATTTGAGACTTTCTCAGCTAGAACACTAATGTCCATATTCTTCTCAACATATATCAAAAGGAAAGCAAAATGACCTCTCCAAATGAGAGCTCTCTGAGACATGGTGACAGAGGATGGGGTCAGGAAATCCAGAAGATCCAGCACTCTACTCACTACATCTTCTGTCTCTGCCACAATTGCTAGCATAAGGAACAGGTTAAAAAAGTTCTGCAGTCCCACTTCTGTCAGCTCCTGCATTCTTTTCCGATGGAACTTGGAATAAATTCTACATTAAAAGAAAAAAAAAAACACAACAACAAAACAACAACAAATCAAGAAAGAAAGTTTTGTAAAGCATTAAATTTTCTATCTACTTGATACAAAAAATCACATTTTCATGCTTTTAGTTTACAGGTACCCTGTAAATATCCTCTTTTCCCTCATCTTCTCTTTTAGCTAATGGAACACATTATTACAATTTCTGGTCCACTCTAAGGTACAAATTAGGGTTTTCAGTTCAGATACTGCCTAACCTTCCTTTCTTACCCAACCTCCAGTAGAAAGCTGAGCACGGTGTGATGAGCAGACTCTCTATTTTGTCAGTGACACGTTTCCTCCATACCATCCCTTCACATCATACAAACTCAGCCCATGAGGGCTACTGCAGTTTAATTGGTATCTCTCAGTATTAGCGAACAATTCCTGTAGCCCAGCTTTTTTCCTAGTAAATGTTATTTCCAGGTGGCACACAGCAAACAAAAGAAAAATAATCAGGAGCCTTCCGTCCTTTAGATACTGATTTCTCTTATGTTACACTACCAAAGTTTGCCTACTCAACTGTCACTGCAGTAAAACCAGAAGTAAGATTCTCGATGGAAATCTCCTTTTCTCTGCAATACTGCCCTTTAGTGAAGGCCCATTGTATGAATTGAGGACTACAAGTCCAGGAGAAAACAGGGAACTGGAGGCATTTGGGAGAGAAACCTCTACTGAGCAGAAAGATTTTAAGAAACATTAGGATGTATTGCTTTACAATAGCGTTAAGTCCTATGTAGCTGATGGTGAGAAGCACTGCTACTTTGCAACTTTAAAGTGACTGGTAAAAAGCAGAAATCTTTTACACAGTTATCTTTCATGCTCAGATCTAGCTTTTAAATAAAAGTCACCATTCTTGTGAGAGAGGAATAAGATGAAACTGGGTAGCTTAAACTTTCCTTCTGTGCAATTAAAAATTTGGGTATATGCTTCCCCTTTAATTTGAAGTGAGTTCCACATACAGTAGTTAAACATCCATAAAGGCTGTTTTCCTATCCTGTCACCTGGAAAAATAGTTGGAAGTGGTGCTGAGGTTATCAAATCTAGCCACCAAAAATTATAGCAAATCCAATTAATGTTGTTTAGTAGTAAATTACTACTGACAGGCATTTACGTTCTTCATGCATCAATTAATGCTTGGTTAGCTGCTGAAAACAGAGTTCATCCCAAAATCATAGCTGTAGGCTGTTAAATTTTGCTACTTGTATAATTAATTTATTCAAGTCAGAAGCGATGAATACTGGTTGAGCAGACAGACAAAGTGTGTGTTGTGTATTATTATTCCCCCTCTTAAATTAGACAAAGTAACAAGCTATAACAACACAAAAACTTAAGTATAATTTGTTTTCAGTGAAAATGAAACAGACTAATTAAAATTACTAACCAAAGCAAGACACTGATTCAGCATTTAACAATATATTTGTTTCAATATGTAGTTGTAGCAATTTTAAAACCCAAACTTTACTGACTGTAACAATTCATGAAGCTTACATAGCTAGTACATGTATTTTCCCCTTCTGATAGCAAAGATAACCCTTCTTTTTTGGGAGAGACATACTACATAGCTTTACAAGGTCTGCATGCACATTTTATCCATTTTTTATTTACATATAACTTAATCTTAAAAGTCAAAACCATCAAAAAACTCCCAAACAAATCCAAGTCAGTTATAACCAATGAAAGAAATCTTAAGTGTTAGCACTTTTAACAATCAGTATGATATCATTACTAAAAGTTTTGAGGACTCAGTAAGTACACGCAATGTCACAATTTTGATTAAAAACCATAAATATGTATGCTGTTAAATATCATGACTTAGCACCTCTCTTAATTAGTATGTTTCAGAATTAAATGAAAAAGTAAAACCCTCACAAAAAATATTGTGAGAAATGTTGGCAACTGTATAAAGGAAAAAGGAAATATAAAGGGAATTGAAGGCATAGCAAGAGCCAGGCTGTATGTTCTTAGACAACACATGGCTTACATGCAGCTCAAAACAGAATTTCTGTGCTTTAATTACATTACCTTACTGGCAACAGGGTTGTACCACTGCATAGGTTGCCAGTATACCAAATTCCTGGCTGGTGGGACGAAACAAATCATCACAGGCTGTGGTTGCCAAGATGACTCTTGGACCCAGCTATACACCTGTCACAGCCTTAGCTGGCAACAGAAACGAAATGGAACAACTGCCTTCTTCAGATCATGAACACCCAGGATCCTTCACCCCCTTTACTTTCTCATGAGCACTGTACCCCACTTTGCTTTAGTGTGTGCCTCAAAGGGCCATGCAGTCAGACCAACTAGATCTCTTATAGTATGAGACAAGACAAATCGCAGCCATACCGTCCTTTAATTTGTTTCCAAGGATGCACGCCACTGTTCTCTGTCTCTTCTTTCATCATCCGTGCCAAAATGCTGAGAAAAATGAGGTAACTGTTGCTGGACTCGTACAGGGTGGGGATCTGCTGTTCACAACAGCAACTTTTTACCAACTCGAGCATTGACAAAGAAGTTTTACTGATATTTGCCAGACCCTTCAGACCGAGCCACGGAACAGTAAAGCAACTGTTCTAAAAGAAAAAATAAAACAAGTAAATAAGATAAGTAGCAATAAACGTTAATATTCCAAAGACAGTAAGATACAATCCTTCACACAAAGAAAAGGGCATGTTCGTACCACAACTCCAAAAATAAAAACACATCACAAATGTGCAAAGTGTTTTCACAAGATCTTAAAATCGGTAGCCTTAATGAAGAATAAAAATACATTCTAATTCATATAGCAAATTCAGGCTACTGTCATCGACTAGTCAATTTTTCAGAAGTGTAGAAGTCATGTTTGGCCAAAGGGGAATCATAATTAATTGCTAAAAACTGAAGATGGTCTACATGCAGTTCTGTATTTTTATATATTGATTTACTTACCAGGTTCTTGCTATAATAATCCCAGAGTATGGTGACAGCAGATAGGTTCCAGTCCCAGAAACTACTCAAAGTCAAACAGCACTGAAGATACATTCGTAACTGTTCCTCTAACACACCGGTCTTGCAAAGGGAATAAAAAGTTTAAACGTAGGAGGGAAACATCACCATGTCTACATATAAACTCAATACTATCAGACTACCCATAATCATTTCCTCATATAAACAATGTTTCTATTAGAATGAATCAAGGAGGGCCATGAGGATGATCAGAGGGCTGGAGCACCTCTCTCATGAAGACAGGCTGAGGGAGTTGGGGTTGTTTAGCCTGGAGAAGAGAAGGCTCTGGGGAAACCTTATCACGGCCTTCCAGTGCCTAAAAGGGGCTACAGGAAAGCTGGGGAGGGACACTTAGTCAGGGACTGCATTGATAGATAGGATAAGGGGTAATGGCTTTAAACTAAAAGAGGGTAGGTTTAGCTACAATAGAAGGAAGAAACTTTTTAATCTGAGGGTGGTGAGGCACTGGCACAGCTTGCCCAGAGAAGTTGTGGATGCCCCATCCCTGGAGGTGTTTGGGCAACCTGGTCCGGTGGGAGGTGTCCCTGCCCATAGCGGGGGTGAGGGGGGGGGGGGGGACTGGGTCGTCTTCGAGGTCCCTTCCAACCCAAACCATTCTATGATTCTCTACATATATAATATAAAGTAAATGGCATCTGCTATTACAAGCAACGAACAAGAATATAAAAGCTGACACACACACACACAGTCATCCAATTCATGTTGTAATGCAGCCAGTAAAATAATTCATCGTGCACCCTTTCAGGTGTCCACACTGTTGTAGACTTACTGTAACCTCAATATTGGGGGCCTAACTTGAAACACAGTTGCACGGTACAGGACCTTACAGAAGAGTAAATAGGGCATTACACTGAATGCATAATAAATCAGCTGAATGTTTAAACCCTTCTGTCATGTACGTCCAAAGGAAAACTCATTCACCACTGATACAGAGGGAAGGTACAGCTATCTCAAGAGGTCATGCTTCTCTTAACAGTACAGAAAATGGGAGGATCTTTTATTTCTGAATCATGTCCCTTGTTAAACTTCTGCAACACTGCAATATTGATAACATCCCAGACAATTCTGAATGAATAGCAAATAAACCTCTGAGCAGTTGCCAATGAGTTCCTCTGCAGAAAGAGAAACATTTTCCAAACGTTTCCATCGGTTCCAAACTTTGCGGACGAACCAAAGATGACCCACAGTGAAGAAAATACGAAATTCCAAACAATTTAAACACAATGAAGCATTCAGATCATAATTGTGAGCTACTGGGAGTGGGAAAACTTTTGATATAAGCAAAACTGGACTTGTACCACAATTAGGATGTAAGGAGCTCCCCGCTCAGAATGAAACCACATGTTTAATCCAGCCTGGTTGAGGCATCTACTTCAGGATGATACTAAATATAACACCCTGGGAGGACTTGACCACTTGCTTTGTGATGAGAGAAAGCCCTGAACTATTTTCAAATACATCTAAATACTACATGGGCTTGGAAATCCTAAATGCTTAAGATGAACTAAAGAATGATAAAAGGGGGAAGAAAAATAAAAGAGATACAAGATGGTGGGACCTGATGATCTTAAAGGTCTTTTCCAACGTAAATGATTCTGTGAGATGAGTCTTATGACTTAAAACATAGCACCAGGAAGGGGAATGAACAAAACCTTTCATGTCTCAGATAAATATCAGGAAGCTCTCTCTTTCTGTTCCAATTACACTGCTGGATCGTGGACTATACAAGGTCCTGGTTTACCTATGTCCAGCATTAACCCAGTTCAGAAAATGGCTGAATAAAAAACCCAAAACAATAAGAAATACAACAACAACACAAAACAAAACAACCTACATGTTTTTGCCTGATGCCAGGCAAAAAAACCCACAACATTAACCTGTGGGGATATTTTTGTTGTTTTTAATGGTCTTTCATTGAGTACCTGTTACTGGAAGACAGTGACTTAAATTTCACCCACAATGCTATCTCTTATGTCTAGTGCGTCTTAGATCCGCTTCCCCCCAGTTGCAATAGAACACAGGAGTTGTAACTCATTAACTTATCTCTAGCTTCATAGATTTGGATATACATTCCTGTGGAAAACATTATTTTCTACACTGTGTCAGAACACTATAAGCAATTACAGCAATCTTCTACAATAGCTTCTAATGTCTGCCTTCTCTTCTTATGAAAAATTAATCTAGGTTATACACCTTCTAAAGAGGTGTATTTCTAAGGCAAGTTGAAAATTGAAAAGGCATTTTCAGTTGTCATAGAAAATTACATATTACATTACATTATATATAACGTATGGAAAACACTGAAGTATCCATAGAGAGAACACTTCAAGAGAGTAAGACGTAGTGGATGGCAGTTCAAATACAATAAAAATGTCAACAAATGAAAGGTGATCATCAAGAATTGTTCTTAAATGACATAACACTACATCTAAAATCAGTAGTGTCCCCAAAATAAAAATAATCTCACCCAAAACCAAGGGACAGAACTGCAGTCATTTTCAACTGTGCTATTTTTTATGAATAAGATTAGGAGTCTGGATATAAAACTAACTGAATGTATCTATTCCTCTAGAGAGATCTACCCCATTACAAAAGACAACAGAACAAACAAAAACCACACACACCCATTTTGGAAAGAGAATGCTTAGTCCTAAAACTGTAATTTGTGCACAGGATTATATTTATGATCTAATTTAACAAACAATGACTATTTCAATTAAACTAATTCAACAGGAAGCATGGTATTGTGAGCAGCTTCAATTTCAACCCTTATTTATCCATCCAACAATAGTTTTAGAACGGCTTCCAAAACCAAGATAGTACTGAAGGCTTTATCTTGAATTTAATATGAAAGAGTTCTCCAGACTTCAAATACCCCTGGGATTAATGGATTCTTTCATTTCTCTTTTGCTTAAAATGGTCTCCTGCACTGCTGGAAATACTATGAGAACTCTTGAGGTAGTCAGCTTTTAATTTATCGCAGAAGGGAGGAACACCAGATACTATCAAAATGATAGTATTATCTAAACACAACATTTTTCTATTATGACCTCCTACTGAAGAAATAAAATTGGTTTCCTAGAACTACAAGTAGTTCTGTATTTCGTTTAGATTGGAATTAAACACCAAAGTAGTGAAGGTATAATAAAATTGAGGCAGAAATCAAACAATCATGAAGCATTTACTTCCCCAAATGAGAGAAGGCAAGTAAGACAGACTGCTATCAGCCCTTACAAACAAACAAAAAACCCTTTTGATTCTCACAATAACAGTTCCTGAGCAAATTCATCTTATACTAGCAACCCATAAATTTAATCAGTTTGATGTTGCCTAGTATACAAAAATACAGATGTTAATATTCTTTAAATTCGTAGTACAGTCATTTTCATTTTGTGCAAACAGAATTGTAGACCAGCTCTACCTTTATTGTTAGTCCCAAAACAGAAATCCAATTTACAAAAGAGCTAGGCAATACATCATGTAACCAGTTTCCAATAATTGTCTCAAGTGTTGAAGATGGGGGTCTTTGATTATAACTGCTGGTTTTGTGATACAGATGGGAAACCTTTCATACAAGCAATTGTCTTCAACTCTATCTATCAAGATTAAAAAAAAAAAAGGGGTGATTTCTGGCTGAGAAACTCACCAATCTGTCAACTGTTTGAAACTGAAAGGATATATCTAAGGAATCATAGAATGGTTTGGGTTGGAACATACCTTAAAGATCATCTAATTCCTGCCATGGGCAGGGATACCTTCCACTAGACCGGGTTGCTCAAAGCCCCATCCAACCTGGCCTTAAACATCCACAACTCCTCTAGGCAAGCAGCACTCTACACTTGCCCAGGTATCCACTACTGCTCTTGCCTTTATTTACAGCCTACAAACAGAGTATCTTTACTTCCCACCTATATACTGGTCCCCCCTAACCTGAACAGCACCTTTACATCTTTCCCTTGCTCAGCTATATCCTTAGAAGCAAGGAGTTCAAACCTGGATACTGCAGCACCCCTCTGCTACCTTTACCTGGACATAGGGTACTTTCCTCAGGAAGTCCTTATCACCCCGAAAACCAGGCACATGCTGCATGAAAGTAGCTGAGGTTCTCTGCTGTCTGCCTGAGGGCTGTCCTCTCCATACTGGGGATCACCCACATGACAAAAAGGGGGGTGAGAATCCATGGGCAAGACTTGCTGCCTGTGAAGATGTGACCACCACAGAGGCAGAAGCCATGCATTCAGGGACAGCAGAGGCCATGAATCCAGAGCATCATCCCGTTACTGACACAGTATTTTACCTCATGACAGAGGCATGTTCTGTGATTATCTTGAAGATTCGCTGGTTCAATTCATTAGAGCTGTTCTCAGTTAATGTGACTAGAGTCTCCTGGTTTGCACCATCACCTTCACCATCGATATTTTCCTGAAAACCTTAGCTTTAATCACTAAGTTCAACCATTTTACTTCAACTACCAAGAAGTTGCAGTTTTAACACTGGTTAGTCATTTTTGCATCCCAATATTGAGCTGTCCTAATGATGTAAAAGCTAACTCTAATGTTTGCTGATTCATCAGCAAAGGTGATGGTTCTTTTCTCTACTTTCATGATGCTCCCTTACCCTCAAAATTCATACCTGCAACAGTGGCTATTAAATCACCTTTTCACAACACAGAAATTGAAGGTCATGTGAAAAGAAATTATCAGTTACTGGTAGGAGAAAGATTATCAGTTTACATTGCAAATTTATGATATGTATCTTTTTCAAACACACAAAAACATACACACTTAATTTCATTTCAATTTTCCTCATCTGTTGTATATTCCCATTCACTTTATGTTCCCACCTTTATTGTCTATAAGCTTTTGAAGTTAAGGAGCAAGAAGCACAAGTGGATTATGAAGTTGATGGACATCATTTGAATCCAACGATATTAAACGTAACCAGATTTTAACCTCCCATATACTTAAAAAAACTAAGGTTCTAATCACTAATTCCTGCCCTCTCTTGTAAATGAGAGATTCACTACAACCTTTTCTTCCAACATTTTTTGCAGAGCTATTACTGTGCATCCCTATGCACTCTTCTATAGAGTGCATGCTTAAAAGGATGGCTTAGGTAGAATTCACTAACAAGCTAAAGCCAAGCCTGAGTGGGCAATATCTTCAGTACCGTCCCATTGTTCATTTCAAAGAGGAGTCTTCTCCCTTTTTTTTCCCTGCTTGTCCATGTTCCATTTCATTACTGACTTCTTGATACTTCATTGTGCTTCCCATTCCCATTTTCCTGGTCTCAGAAATACTCACTTAGCAGATACTTCAAAGGTACAAGTGGATAACTCAAAAGGTAAAAGCAGACACATGAAGCTGAGAGACTGACAGAGGAGAAGGACATGTCTACAGGTAAAGGAAAAGCTCCCTCCTAGACACTGTCAGGAAAGCTGGAGTGCAAGAAGAGGAAGGGGAATGCATTTTTTAATAAAAGTATGTACCATGCACTCACATATGCATGTATAGGTGCAAATGCTCTCCAAGGAGCATTTCCTACAATCAATTAACTCCATAACGGAAAAAGGAAAAATTTCAAGACAGGAAATAAGGTAGGTGACTCCTTGGACTGTTGGTAATAGTTACAAATAACTTTGGCAAACAGGGGTTTGTTTTAAATCCAGCCATAGTTGCCTTTGGAACTTAAAACAGACATTTGTCTTGTATTTCTGTGTCATTTTTCAAATCTTCTGAACTCAACTGTCTAGTTACCTTAATAACTGTCTACAAATCAATACCTATTTAACAAAAGCATCAAAAATGCTTTGTATTTTGTGTATATTCAACTTTAGGATAATATCTGTTTTAAAATAGTAAGATTTCACAAGAAAAGAGGAACATTAAATATGTAAGAAGTGTCCTCTTACTGTCGTCAGGTTGCTGACATACAGAACATTTTCCTATGCAGGAGAATGGCTAATAAACTACTTCAGATATCGTTGCCTCATATCTCATCTAAATTTCTCTAGTTTCTCTCCAAGAATGGTAAGCATCCAGTAAGTGATGTCATCACTATAGTTTTAGTGTACATGCACAGTATGCATATTCAATTATATACAGTGAAATCGTTCCAAAAAAAAAAGTTAACTTTTATTAAGCCAAAACTATATACACAAATGTTAGAGTTTACATGCAATGTGATTTTTCAACTTTTAATAGCCAGCCTCTTGTATCAACTATCCTAACAACTACAAAATATATTTCTGTACAAACTGTAAGAAGCATTGATCCTTACTCTGCTTCTACTACATCTGTCACTACTGCATGAGCAAGGCAGTAATAGCAATAAAAAAGAACTGATCCTCTTCTGCTTTCAACAATGGAACTTTGCAGGATTTTTTCCATCTGAGACCAAATACAAAAATAAACATGTTTATTCTCATTTTAAGCATACACAAATTAAAGAAGTTATTTTTATAGGTGTTGCTGTTACCACATTTGCAATTTGTACCATGCAACTTCACAACAAATTTACAGAGCTGCAACGTAATATATTTAAAAACATGATGAACAGCATATTTAAAAGCATTTTAAAAGGAGGTCAATTCTGACCTCTGGGCCATGAAGCATTGCATTAACAGTTCTGCAGAAAGAAAAATGATAAGGTATGAAATGAGTGCTCAGAAACTAGAACCTTATCAGTAAGAGTTTGATTCAAGCCTGTAAGACAAATTGCTCAGCAAGGCAAGTCACCTTCCTGCTGTGATGAGGATATAGCTGAATTTTCAATGCAACTGACTATCTCCCTCATCATGTCTCTTCAACTTGATATCCTTACATTCAGTATCTGGTTTACATTTTCTAAGCATCCAGTTCTTATTCTGAATACATCTTGTCTGAGTAGCCATATACCTACCCTTCCAGGATAATTATCTTTTTCCTTTATCTGACAATTTAGCATCAAGCATAACCACTTTAAAGCAAGTGTAACTGCTAACAAGGAGGGAACCGTATACTGCCAGAGTTCAGATACGTCAAGGATGTTCATTTGCCTCTGATAAAAACACTAGAATTCCAAAAATACACTTGTTAGTTGGTCTTTGTTTCATGCACTGTCTTTTCCAGAAAGCATCCCTGACACTTCCCATGTTCATTATTTCTTCCTTTACACACTCACCTGAACATCAGTGGATTTTTTAAGGAGTTCTTCCACAAACTTCCAATTGGATTCCTTCCGTTTCTGAAAAATAATGACTAGCAGCATGAAATAGTATTTGTATACCTCACAGGAATCATTATGTAATAATGCGAAAATAAGAGGACGAGAAATTTACAGAAATATTCCATTTCATGACAGCATATTTTAGTCACCACTGAAAACAAATTCTTTGCTTTATGAATGTCTGTCCTAAAAATTAGACCTAAACAACAACAACAAAAACCCCCAAAATTCATATACCAAAGGGTATGCTGTTTTAACTGGTTTAAGGGACTCATTTAGAATTCCAACCTTCATTTTTAGTAAAGAAGCAAAAACATTCAGACATTTTTGATTTGTATAAGTAATGTCTTAAAATTTGTCTTTAACATTCTCTAGAAAGGAAGAGATAAGGAATAAAAAGAAGGAAAACATACAATCTTACTTCTCTTTTTTTTCTCTTTTCAGTGAAAAATTACTTTTAACTCATTTTTCCTGTGACAATCACAAAGGATTGTTTTGGCTAATTTAGTAAGGAATTGGTCAGGTAGCAATGACCTAGATAGAAAAAAAATCAGGGTAGGTCAAATATGGCCCACAATTCATACTTTTCAGCTTGGTAAGGCAGATAATTGCTCATTTGAATTAACTAGACCATACTAGTAAAGTAAAAAAGTTGCATGGCAATATATATTGAAAAAAGAAGTTTTTCCAATTAAGGCTATTTCCCAGGAAAATAAATAAAATGCAAGCCAGTCAACATACTTACCATTCTTAGCTACATCTAGATCACCCAGGAGTATCAAAAATCACCTCTTAGGTTCAGTTTTGTATATAGGTTAGATAGATGATAGATGCTTGAAGTAGTACTTTTTTCATTGTCCTGCCTTACTCATTCCCTCCACTACTACAACTGTTAATCCTTTGTTAATGTAAATATAACTACTTCCCAGCAGCAACACTACTGTCCCCTGTCCTCCTCCATTAACTACACTAGTTAACGCCATGACTTGGTGACAATTCCACACAGGATTTCAGAGATTACTGAAAGAATTTTAAAGATCAACACTTTAAAAAGATACAGCAATATATGTGCAATGTAATTTGACTACTTAGTGGGTTTACATTTTTGCACTACAAAAACAATAAATATTCTGGAAGACTGCTGATGTTAACAAGTCACAGTCTATAGACTGTTTATGGGACAAAAGTGAATCAAAAAAGAGATCTGCAGAAAGTTAAACTGAAGCTGTGATTTCAGAAATCAGAAACTTCAGCAGTATCAATTAAGGAGTTCCTACTGCTTTCTCCTCATCTTGCCCTCACAGATTTAACATGCCACTGCTCAGCTGTTCTGGTACTTCTGTTTGTGGGACCCGGTGTGAACCAGATCAGTGAACAAACCTAGAGCTTTAAGAGCTAAGTACAGAACGGAAACAGGAGGAGGATCTGACCTAGGTCATACAACAGGGCCACAAATAATTGTGCCAGAACAGCAGAGGGTATATCATGCCTCGGGTGGTGTAAACAGGACTTCTTAAGCTGTTATTGATGCCACAGCCTTTGTATCATGAAACCACAGCTGAAATCCTGTCAGAAGGAAAAAACACTGCATCACTGCTTTGTGTTTTGACTGCTATAATTTCAAGACTGATATTGTGTGATTACCTACACAGTCCTACTGCAAACTCCAAGTAAAGTTAATTGACTGCTCAAAGGCCAGATTTATCAGAGATAAACAGATATTAAAGAATCACACTAAATAGCTACGAGACCTCTGGATGACTGGAGCAGTCTGCTCAGAACATGCTTGTAGCACTCCCACAGCCCAAGGGCACACAAGTTTTATGAAAGGTGTTTATAGCCACAGTTCCAGCCCAGCTGCGGTATGCAGATCACCTTACAGGATCCTTGAGTAATTTAGGGCAAAATCCTGACACCGGCTGGAACTGATTACCAGAACGCACCCAAGTTCAGCCCAGACTCAGGAAAGAACAGCACCAACAACCTGCTGCACCCTTCTTGCAGCCTCAATTGTCTCTGCCTTTTAACAGACGTTTCATTCAAATCTCACTGCATTTACATCCTAACAGTATTCCCTGCTACCCTGGCAATATGGCATAGCAACTGTTTCAAAGCCGTTCTTGTCAGAGAGTGTGTAGAATCTGCATCTCTTAGTCCAAACCTGCTGGCTTACCATATCCCCCCCTCCACCCTCAAAGAATCCTAAAATCAACAGAACCTGGAGACCTCACAGTAAGTAAAACTGCTCCTGAAACAAAAAACTTAAGCTGAGACCCTCTGGGTTCTCGGGGAGAAACTTCTGCAGAAGAAACTAACACCTGACTACCTGTAAGATCCATCCTAGGCTTCCCAGCTGGAAGTCCATGTTTGCATATCTTGCTATGCAGTCATTTCAAATTATTCAAAGGCAAGAATTCTTAGCCTCAAGTAATTCTGCCTATATTTCCCTAGCCCACAGTATATTGAAATTGACCCCTGCAATGTTCAGAAGTGGCAATTTTTCTTGTTGGGTCCCATCTGCTTTTTAAATCCTGCTTCTCAGAATAGTGAAGTGGAACCTGAATGTGGGGTTAGGGATAGAGACATACACCGTGCATCCCTCAGAACACAGAGGGAAAAATTTTCTAGCTGTGTGCCAGAAATATTCTAGTTTTAAAAGTGGTTTCATGTGTATGAAATATATATTCAATATATATGAATCATTGCATATTTGAAATTACATTATATGAGCTAAAGGGGAAAAATAAAAAAGAAGCAAGTCTGAAACCTATTTAGAATTTTAAAAGCTTTCATAATAACCTCAAGGCCATGCAGACCACATTAAAAAATTGAAAGTCTTCCACAGATGACATAGGCTTAGAGGCAATTTTTGCTAGGGAGCACATGAATAACCATCATTATGACACATCACCCTCCCACCTCTGATCACAGTTAATTAAAAGAAAGCATGTGTCATGAAGCTATCACGTCAGATGTTTAACCAACAAAACAGGACTACACCGAGTCCTGATGTAATTCCACTGACTTCAACAAATTTATATCAAATTTTATCCTACTATCTTCAAAGGGTGTTTGAGGATGTATTTCATGGGAAGAAAAAGAAATTATTACCATCAACTATTTACGACAGATTACATTCTTGTTGCTGACAGGTTTGCTTTTTTTTTTTTATAAGCCCCAGTAGCAGCAGAACAGGGAACCCTGGACAAACAACAAGATTTAAAAAAAATGTGAGGCACAGCTAACAGTTTGAACATAAAGAGTATGGGAAACATCAAAAGAAGTGTGCACAGGATGGTCTCGTGATTTACAAATTGGGACTTGGAAATTCTCTTCTCCCAGATGGGCTCTAAGGAAAAAATATTGTTTAATCTTGGGCAAATCACTTCCTGTCAGTGCATCTCAGATTCTTACTTTAAAATAAGAACAACAGGAATCTTTTTTCCCCATTCAATGTCTGCTTGGCTTATTTAAATAATATAGTGCCTCAGGCAAAAAATAATCTCTCATGAGGCTAAATACATAGTATGTATCACTATGAGAGACGGGGAAAAAAAAAACAATGATCAAAGTAAACAGTATCACTGCATTTTGATTAGAGCATAAAATATAAGAAACCCAAGATAAATGTCTCCTCCACACTAGTTTCTGTATTCAACCTGGGAATAACCTTTTCTCTCCATCTAAGTTCCTTTAATAAGCAAGGAGTGTAGTAATTCTATCCTCCCAATGTCCCTCTGAAGCATACTATGGACTGTGGTTCCTCCCAGCCCAGTACCGTAGGATCCTAAAGGATCTGTCAACCCACAAGTAGCAGAAACTGTATGTTCACCAGAACTTCTAGCCAACAGAGATGGTTATGAGTTTTCTAACTAAATATTCAACCACTGAGCTACTCCACCTTCCCTATCACTTTTTTTGCTTTTGATATTTCAGGAAGTTTGTAAGATAAGAATCAATTAAAGTAATATTTAATTGGAAAGTTTAATTTGACCTAGGATTGAAAGCATTCACAGAAGTACAACACGTCAATATTCTTCATACACTGTTTATATACTAATGCTTTTAAAAACCTAAAGATTGCACAGGGGAGGAAAAGATAAGTTATAATAAAATAAATTGATCAACCGATGTGATCTTACTCTTCCCTTTGCATAGGTCTGCAGTTCATAAACATGTTTCAAGGTTTTAATCCTCCATCCTATGTTAAAATGGGAAACGTTTTTGAAATCTTGATAAATATTTAGGTAGAAAAAGGGTATGAACCTATAAATTTTTAATAGACATAATTCAATTAGAAATAATAAAAGACACTCCATAATAAACTTAGAGCTGATGCTTAGGAAACTGGGGAAATCCAGCTGAAATGCAAAATAAACACACAAAACAACAAACCAGCTACATTTCTGGGTCTTCAGCTATCTCTAGCTTCTAGTCAGCTCCCTCTATAGTCTATTAAGGAAAATTGGCAGTTTTCATACCACTCAAAACAGATGAATTGCCTCAGTAAGTGCCCTTTTCCTTCTAAATTAATGATTACAAAGTTAAAACTAGACAGGATGAATCCCACACAGAGAGACTGAAAAAAGAGTTGAGGTTTACATGCTCCAAAACTGCAGAAAACTACTGAGGTCCATGCAAGAATTTGATGCACCAGTACCAAAGTGTAACCTCACATACAACTTACAGACATGCAAGAATGGCATGCACAGGTCTTACCCAGGCCCTTCCCAGAATACATGGCAACATCAAGTCCCTTACAACAAAATTCTCAGAAAAGAAGTCAATAATCACAGTCTAGCCTAGTTCAGCTGGAAGGAAAAGCTAAGACCATGCCCTAAAGGTAAATGGCTTGCAATTTACTGCCAGGAGCTTGAACTTAACAGTTTTTAAACAGTGTCTGCCAGTATCAGACATCACAGAAAATTAAGCTATGTGCATATATGCATGTCAACATGCCAATGTTGTGATGTAAAGAGAATACAATTAGCCAGACTAGAATTTATCCAGAACAGAGCTACCACTCCCCGCCGTCAAAGTGGCATTACCAACTACACAGTTAATGTTTGAGGTTTATACTTCACACAGTACAATCTAATGTGCTCAGTTCCTAGAACAGCAAACTCAGTGAAGCATTTATGCTACAGGCAGACAGTCTTAAAACACACACTACATCATTAAATATATGTGCTAGCAACTAGCACAGATTTTTCACGTTTCCTTAATACAGTAACCTACTGAATATCTGGTGTATGATATATGTCAAGGGCTACTGGAATGCTTTGTGACTTGTACAAAGTGCTTTTTAATATTACCAACGTTGAAGGATTTCATTTAAACAAATGTAAACGATCCTTTAAAACAACATCAACTGTTTTCTGTCAACAAAAATAACCAAGCAAAGTTTGAGACCTAAATAAAATACTGTAACTTTGAGTTGTTTAGAAAAAAAGCATACTCACCTTTTCATCTAGATCTCCATTACGGTCAAACTGGTAGAGTGATGCCAGATGAGTAATAATCCACCAGCTAAAGCTCAATGGATCTTTACACTGAACTGTTTCAAAAACAGATTTCCTTTCAGAACCACTTGGTCTTTCAAAGATATTCTTTAGATTTTTGTTCACCAAGCTCCAGAAACACTGTAGAAAATCCAAAAATAAACTGTTCCATAAAAATGGAACTGTGTTGAATGCTAAAGCCTACCTTCATAATGTTCTCCACAATACTGTCATTTTTTATTTTATTTATTTATTTATTTATTTACAGAAAACAAGCAACGCGACAGTCATTTAAAGGAAATAACAGAGACTAGCGTTCAGCATTACGAGAGAAAGCCTAGAGCTATTTTAGGATGCTTTCCCTTGAATACCAGTAGAGAGCAATGTGAAAGTAAAACCTTTGGTCACAAGGAAGACACTTCACAGGCAAAATTAAGAGCGTATGGAATGACAATGAAGAGAGGATCACCAGGTTTGTACTCATATGAGAGTTCATACTAGAGTTCATTAATGAATACTTGAAATAACAGATTTTTGAAAAACTCTTAGTCCCAAACTAACCTAACAAAGAAAGAGAGAGCAGTAAATAGTAGAAAATCCATCTGGAAGATAGCAAACTGAGGTTCAAATCCCCTGTTTTGTTCAAAGTCAGTCCATTACAATACTGATAAACTAATTAATCTCTTTGGCTCAGACTCCTATTTATAGCATTTTATGTCTTCCTACAGACTGTACCCATCTTCCCTAATTATGCAGAACTCTCTGGAACTTCTTTGCACTTCCATTTCAACCACCTGAGCTGGGTGATGCTACAATTACAAGCATCAAAATCCAAGTTGTTCTCTTTTATAGGTAGTTCAGGTACAGGTATTAAAGACAGAAACATGGGCTAGATCAATCATTAGTCTGCTGTACCTACATTTTTAATACCTGGAGATAAATCTTTGCGTGATATAATACATAAATTGCGAAAGATTAATAAAAATGTGTAAAGATGTTTTCTTTTCCAACATGTCCTACAATACAGCTTTCAGTCTGCTCCTTCACGTTCCTTAGTACAAGTAGCTACCAAGTTTAACAGTACCTTAGGCCATAATCAAATAGTATACTGCAAACCTAGAGTCAGGACTTGATGCACACATTAGAGAACGTGGCCTAAAGCATCACCATGAGCACGCAGTCCTTCTAAAGCAAAAATGAAGTTCAGTTCTATTGTCAGATATGTGAACTAGTGCACTCAGGGCAGTTTGGGAACATTTGGCAACTACACTGCATATGTAACGTGAATGCATATGTAACAGTATTCTTCGATTACCTCTGTGTGAGACCCTGTATTTCTGAAGTCCAGAAGCTGAATAAGTAGAACCCACAATTCTTTAATGCAGATACAGGGATAATGGTGACTAGTAAGAGCCTCAGAAGGTCTCACCTAAAAGACAGTATGCAATACAATAATTCAGAGAAGTATTATTTTTGAAGTTGCATTTTATGTACCAATATTTCCTGTTTCCCGCACACACACACCCTTTTTTTCCCCCCAGTTAAATAATATGGATACAATTACAGATTGGAAAGCTTATTATCCCATTAACAGTCAAAAGACATCTCTCATACTACAAAGACTGTTTCCTGATTTTACATACATTATAGGTTGTACTATTTCTTAGTTTCTTCTGAGCCAGTTTCAAACATTATTTAATGCAATGAAAATGGCTTTCCGAGGCCTAAATGAAAAGGAATTGCAATAAATACTGTTTCGTTCTTTGACAGTAGGGAAAAGCAAAAATGATTGATTAGATTTTCTTGATGTTTTGGGGAAGATAAGAGAAAGATTTCAAATGATTTAATAGCTATTATTGTTGTTATTTTTAACTGAAAAATCCTTAATGACTAGGCATAATGCTACTAGAATATGTTTTTGTTGGCATGAGGATGTTAATGTTCCCACAACATTTCACAAAATCTGCTTTTCGGTAAATTTACTGCAAGGCATTCTTTTAATATGCAGAAAACAGCATATTTCAAGTCATGTACGTTATTTGATTACTATTCCATATTTAACAAAATTCACTCAGACTGATGCATTCCAAATGCAAAGCTGTCTTCTTGTGATTCATCTTTCAGTTTTACATTCCCTGAATTGTGAAACAAAATAAGCAAAACAGCTAAAGGAAGTGCTAAATACATGAACATTCTCTCTACGCTTCAATGTTTTTAAGATCTACCAGCACTGTATTTAAAATAATCATAGTATAGACAAAACTTTTACTTACTTAGGACCTATGAATCTACTGTGCTGTATTCAGAGAGAGTAAAAAAAAAGGTGCAAAAAACTTTGTTTAAGGAACATAATTTAGGACATTTTACCTTCAGCAGGGACAAAATGCCAGAAATGTAGTAAGAAAAGAGTAAGACAAATCAGCTTAAACTCATTTTATCCCAAAACAATCAGTACTCCAAGTTTGAACAGTAAACCTACACCCCTTTTAAACCAATAAAGGGGAATGGACACCTAGAGAGACCCATTCATCTAACATACTGCAAGATGAAAAACTGTTGCTATACTTTCACGACAAATAAAAGGAGTCTAGGGGTCTAGCCAACTAATTCCTAGACACCTAAATCTGATGCGTTGAATCTTGGATTTTTATATCTTCTTGCTCTCCCTGCTCCATTCATGCACAACTGTTCTCATATCACACTGGGACTTAAAATCATTTCTGGGTTTGGCAACCTAACAGTGTAAATTAAAAATTAAATCAAAATACGCAATGCCAATAACAGTAGAAGCTGTGTGAAAGAGACATTACAGAAGTGGGAGTGAATGAATAAAAACGGCATTCACAATTAGAAGAACAAGTATATCACCAGTCTCAACTTCTGTTTCAAATCTGCATAATATTCTATAAGTATACAGACTTTTTATTCATCGTTCACCTTTAGAGTAATATATTTGCAACGACTGTTTTCATACAGTTCCAAATTAGATTTAAATACTGTAACACTTAATTATAAATATGATTTTATATGTATTTAACATATAAATTACATTTCATATGTATTAAATAAATGTAACAATTTGTTTTTTGATAACAAATCCTGCTTACCCCATGAAATTGTCAGGGTGGACCCAGCATCAACTTAAGAATCTCATGAGACCAAGACTGGAATATTTTAAATAACTCTATTATTCACATTCCACATTTGCCACTTAGAGTTTTTCATATGCCTATGCCTCCACATGCTTCTAGCTAAAGATCTATTATGGGAATCCCTCAATAACCTGAATTAATCTTATGTAAATATTATCTCGAGAATAATCATCAGCAAGACCAGTAAAGTCTATCAAAAATTCATTATTTAACTGCTAACTTCCCAAAACTGAAGCAGCCTCAAAAATACTCTGGCTATGACTCACCAGCAATGAGATCCCTCAGAAGGGAACAGCCTGCATATTGCAGATGCACTCTAACACCAGGGGATTTTATGGAAGTATTAGGTACACAACCTGTCTTACAAGTTAAGAGTTTCAGGCCTTTTACCTTGAGTTATTGCAGCAATTTGTACCTACTACTGTGCTTTTCTACAGGACAGCAGGATCTCTTCTGCAAGACGTGCAGTATATGACCAGGATAGAGTATGGCTAGTAGTATCAAAGCAAGGCATTATATAGAAATCTCAGTTATCCTTTGTTTAACCCATATTGCTTCGTTCAGAGATAGTCTGGATCTCCTCTTGCAACATCAGGAGTTCAATATCTTGGTAAGAATGGCAAATTGTGGTAAACTTGGGGTAATACAGCTCTGGTGCTAGGGATGTGCTGCTGAGAATAGAAAGAAGGGATAAATATGTCTCTGCCAAATGTATCTCAGGGCACAATGAGCTCAGCATGTGATCCTTGTCAAGTGTCTTGACACTACAACTCCCCAAAACACAGATTTGAAAATGAGTATAAAGGATTGGTGTTTATGTCCCACCTTCCAAGAATACTCACAAATGCTACAAGCTGTGCTTCTGAATATTCTCAGCCCAAAGCTTAAGGCATGTTTTAGTGATGAGCTGACATTCATCTATTCATCTATTATGGGTCTCAGCTGCATTTTCAACAGTTTTGAGGAACATTACATCCATTGCTGGATTACAGCAACAACTGCATACTAGAGGAGGAACTAAAGGCTACTAGAACAGGCACCAGCTGAAGAGGGGTTATCCAGCACAAGTCCAAGCTCCACTTCAGAAATCAATCTCAAATGTAACTAGTTTAAGATATGCAGCCCAATCCTAGGGAGAGCTGAAGAAAAACAATCTTCTCTCTTTGTAATGTGGCGCTGTGGAAGTAGGATGAATCTGTCATTTTAAACGTGGCATTTCAAAGCATCAAGCACAACGGTCAACAGATACTACTTGAATCTTCCTTTAAAAAATTTACTCTCGTCTATTTGCCTTTTGAGAGGGGGAGGAGGTTGCAGTAGTATCTGATAATTTAATAGATTAAAACGGATTTTAAAATGTAAGACAACTCTCTCCAGAGATAGTTTAAAAGAACAGTTATCAAATGCTGCTACAGCTATTTTCCCACTGACTCCATAAATGGCAATATGAAATAAAGGGGAGTCCATTTTTCATGTCTGTGTACCAGGAAAAGTATAAATTATATAGTGGTCACTGCTACTTGGAGGTCTCAGTTCAGTCCTGTATTCACAAATCACGCATGCCTATCTAAAGAAGGTTTCAACACAGCCAGAGAAGATTGCACAGCTCTTCTACTAGCTGATATATGGAGCCATTATGAGTTTCTAGCTTTGGAGTGCTCAAAACAAGCAAGAAAAACACTGCAGCTAAAGAAGGAAAGAAAAAAAAAGTTTTCCCTTGACAAACGTAAAAGAGCTGTCAGAGAAAGATGAGGTTGTAGAAACGGGAGAAATGTAACAATAAATTGTAATATGACATTCTGTAAATGTCCAGTTAACTTACTGCCAGGATTACAGTTATTCTTTTTGTTCCTGTTGAGAGTTTGAAAAGTTTTTTTTTTTCATCTATAGCTCTAAACCTTTTAGACTGTGCCATGTTTGGCATTAAACCTGGAACACTGAACTTATGAAATGTGGCACTCACTTCTGCTCTGTACACAGTGCATTTCAATAGTACTCCCTCATTCAACTGCCAGATGGTCATGAATAAATATAACACAATTTGAGCTCCTAACAAATAACACTCTTTAAAACATGGAGATATTAAGCCATACATAACATTTAAAACTTAGCAGTAAGAAGTCATCTATGCATTGGTACAATATCTAATTCACATGTATCCTGAAAGAAGTATCTAACTACCCATGTCCTATATAAAAGAAAAAAGTTACCTTCATATACTTGTTGATGGACAAGCTTATTAAATCAGATATAAGATTTCCACAGTGTGTTTCAAATAAACTGGTACTGGTTAAATTCTCTCCAGTTAGATTTATGAAATTGTTAGCATACACAACTTGTCCTAAAAAATAAATAGATAAATAAATAAATTACATCTATTTAGTTAAGAAAGACATGATTTGTTTCCTATCCTATATATCTTAGGATTGGTTTGCTGAGCTGTATGTAATTTTAATTTACAAACTCATTTGGAAATGCTCGTCCAGTGTAAATTCAAGCTAATCCTTTCATTGCTACACTGAAGTCTGATATTATTCTGGTTGACAGTTGAATAGTTTGGCATTTTACAGCCTTTAATTGGTACAGTTTTGCAGGGAAATTAAGATTTATTTTTCTGCAGGTTCCCCTTTGTCACATGCCAGTGCGCATGTTCTGAAATCACAACATGTTTTGCAGATATGCAAGTTGATGACAAACAATTCTAGAGAGGTCTAACACTTTCCTTAGGATGTGTTGATGTAAAAAGCTGGCATGATCACATTCCAGCTTCAGCATTTGTAGACATTAACACAGATAAAAAGGTAAAGTTAAGAGGCTATGAGATCTTATCTCCCAAGTTTTCCAATGGTACAACTCCCTTGACATCACTGGAGCAGAAGATACATAGAACAACACTGTAGTTTATTTTTGGAAATGCAGGGTGAAGCCCCAAATCCACAACCTTGCCACTGGTCTCAGCAGCATGACGCTCCCATTCAGCATGCTTTACAGAATGAGATAAGAACCTAAGGGAATTCTACAAGGTACACAGAATACAAGACAAAATAATACATACAGACACATCTTGACTAGTGTATTTTGTTGTTAAAAAGCATGATCTTTCTGTTACAGAAATGGATTACTACATTACTGCTCAGAACTTTACCTAGAAATAGAGAATTCTGGAGGACAAACTACATCCAGCAGTCTGCCTATCCCTTCTCCAAAAGGTCCCCAAAAGGGTAACAATCCCAATCAAACATAAAGAGAAACCTGGAAGTTTTATAGAACAGCCAATCCATACATTCTCCAGAAACAGGCATGCAAAATCAATGAAAATGCATGAAGCTAAAGAAGGCTGTGTTCTGAATGTACTCAAAGCTCATGAAAGCTAACCTGAGTTTCCATACCATTAGTTTGGCTATTGTATGTTTATACAATGCATTTTTTCCAAACCTCAAGGTCACTTCAACTGTAGCAATTCCTTTACAGAAATTATATAGATAATTTATAATAATAATTTATAATAATGAGGGTGTTTGTTGCAGTGGTACTGATTACAGGAGAAAACATAGTTTTGTGATTTTGCTAGCATGGAGATGAACAATACGCATAATTATCACAAAGAAAATAATGTTCACTTCTGTATTTTAAGAATTTTTCTTCAGCCACCAAACTACTGCAATTGCTTTCTGTGATTTTTTCTATAGTTTCTATAAACAACTACTTTTTGCCATTTTAAAGCCCAATAAGTTTTTTGTTGTTGTTGTTGGTTGGCTGTTTTTAAACAAAGTCCTCTGACTAAGGTTTCTTCCTTTGTCCAGTATTTTTTTAGTGTAGTATATAGTTAGCAATGTAGATTCTCTGTTCTGGTCCATCCTTTGAAACTCTTCCTACGTTGTTTGTATCAAATTGCTGTTCACTGTTAAAAATGCTTTTTACAGTACATTTACAATTTCAAAAGGTGTCTTGCTATTAAATATTTAGTACACTGCAAACATAAGTTGAGAACAAGCTTTGTAATCTTGGTCAAGTTTTGATAGAAGAAATCCCTAATATTATTCCATTTAATTTGAGCTACATGTAGCAAAGTTTAATGAAACAAAGATACACAGCCCAAAACATTTCATAAGATTCACAAAATCAAACCTACCTTCACCAAACTTGAATTTAGCCAATTAAATAAAGCTATGCTTAAGAACTACTACAAGTAGGAAATTATTCTGGACAAATTAAGATGAGAAATCTAAATCAATCATACATACAAGAATAAGTTCAAGAAAAATACTGTATACTTACTCATCATTTTTTCACCTAGTACATGAAGAATTTCCAGCACTAGCCAATGGATATCTAAGTGGAGGTGTAATAAATGCCATGATGGTGGAAAGATCTGTGATTAAAAATAAACACATTTATTCTGGACACTGTACTAAGACAGACAAAAAACGGGCATATATTTTGCCTGCAGTAAACATTATGGATATATATGAGCAAATAGACTATAACATATAAACATGTCATTCAGTTAAAAGAATAAAAAAAGAAACCTTCATGACAACCCTCTCTGTAGAGGATGCCTGTGAAGTCCTTAATATGATCTAAACTACAATTTAAACAGTGTCTTGATTCAGGCTTGACAGATTAAAACTAGTTATTTTTTCCTTTCCAGAAAAAAAAAATGCTTTACTTTACCCGTGTGTGTGCTATCAGGTAGCACACACACTGTTAAAGTATGCTCTTAAAGTAATTTCAAAATTTCACTACTCTCTTCCTTAAAGATTGATTGAAATTACTGTTTCTTTCATTAGCTCAACAGTGGACCTATTGACAAACTAAATGAACAGAAAGATTCACAATGCTGCTGGTCAGTGGATTGTTCCTCTCCAGATATAAGCTTATGAAACCTAAGATTGAAATTCCCTTTTTCTTTTTGAAAATATTAATTAATTATATATGCACAAATCTTAGTAGGGTAATACTTTACTTGCATTCAATACTGCAGTTGCTTTACTTCCATTTCTGCACTTTTCTTCTTTATATGCACACTCTTTCCCTACTTTGAATCACATTTCAGAATATATTCTTAAAAAATGCCCCTCCTACCAGGAAGTTCAGAAATTCTAGCCATTATCAAGGACATATAATGAGGAATTTTTTAAACATGCTATGCTAACTCAAGCCTACCTATTTGCCTGTATTATCATTTCTATAAGGCAGGAATAACTGTAAAAGCTATTCAAATATAAAAATAATTTTTAAAAAAACAACATAAAATCCAGAGCTCGTTAGGTGTGCTAGCCAAGTATGGGATGACATTTAGTTTATAAAGTGACAAAGGAAGAAAACATAAATCATAATTCTAATTTGAAAAAAGACTAATTTCTATTCAGACAAAATTAATCAAACTGAATACGTACTCTCACAAAATAAAATTAAAAATTATAAAAGCTATCAACCTTTGCCTGGTGTTGAACAGTGAATGCTGCCAGGACACTACTAGGGAGTTCACAAAGGTGCCCAATGTGCAGGGTCAAAGCATGAAGCTCTTCCACCAACAGTGATGGTAACTGGGCTTCTAGTTCTTCATATGGGTGGAGTACTCCATCACTATCCACTTTAGGGGGTTCCAGATACCTGAACACACACACACATAATCAGAAAATGGGTAAGATGCAGCTATAGAAAGCTTAGACAATAAATTAGTAAGTTGTGCACGTCTCACCTGAAGATGAAAACTTTCACATAATGCAAAAACTCAATACACTGACGCCTGATGCCCTCTGCTTCAGAGTGCAAGTTTGCAGCTTGACCTGAAGTAAAAGAGATCAATAGCTTAGATCAGATGTGGCCACACTTTGACCCATGTATCGTGCATTCCCCACAGGAATTAAAACAGACCAGTAAAAAACCACACTTTTCTGAAACCAACCTGGGAGGTGCCTGGTGGCAAACACCCAATTCCAAATGCCATCTTGCCAGAGTGAGCCATTCCTTATCTTACTATCTCAGGCACATATCCCCATACAAAGGCAAAAGAAAACATCCAAACCCTCAGGACAAGCAGGGACAAGGAATCAGTGCTAGAACAAATCATTCAGCCCTACTGCCCAGCTCCATGTCTGCTTCCAAGAGACCTTTAAAAAATTTAAGTATGAAGCGATTTCTCAAAATCCTTTTCCCCTAGGGAAACTCATAAGCATAACATTATTTGGAAACATGCTTTGTAACTTCTCTTCCTAAGAAGAGTTGCACAGTGCCTTAAGATGTGTGAAGCTAAGATTCTTTCATTCACAATCCTGTATCCTGCCTTTCATTTGTGGCTCTGTACACCATTGTTTAGTTATTGCAGCTGCCTCGCAATTCCACTTGCTTCTCCACCTCTTTCCCCACACCTCGTTTTCTAGCTTTCAGCATTTATTACAGAAAAATAAAACTGATGCATAACAAGGTAAATATAGTCATTTAAATACCCAATAACAACTGCCCGATAATGTATATATATACATAAATGCCTAGTAACCAGTCAGCCTGCAACACTTGTACCTGATTAAGCACAATGCAATCATTTTTAAGAGCCCCATGAATGGGAACAGCAAACAAGGATTTTGAGAAGACCCTAGTGAAAACTGTATAGCACTAGAGAAGAAGCAGGACAAAACCTCTTTGCTGCCTTCTTCACTCAATTGCATATCCAGGGGAAGGCAATCCAATTTGCTCCTCTAGCCAGATGACCACTGGGGAGTTTTCCTTTTGCTTTTCTTGCTTGTTCTCTCCCTTGTTTCTTCCCATCTGCCACAAGGTAACTTTGAAATTCAGATATGCCACTTGCTATGGACCCCACAAGCAAGGCTTTCTGCATATATGTCCATCTCAGCATCTTTTGTGCATCAGCACTCACTGAGAAAGTACAGCAAATTAACTGGCACAAATACCATAATATTCCAGTGTAGAGCTCACCACTACCTCTGACAGAAGCATCTACTGTGGTAACGAACCACAGTTTTAGTGCACCAAATCACTCTCTTCTAATGGAAATATTTATAGATATTACTGCCACTATGTAGCAATTACAATTGCTTTATCTTTGAAGTTCTGTTTAAGCAAAATTTTATATTACATTAATTCACTGCAAAATGTTTTGTATACATTGATCAATGAAATAAGTGGAACAGAACAGGAACAGTACAGTGTTCAGCACAGATCAGGCATTTCCAAAGAAGGGCAAAAAAAAAAAACAGAGCATAAGAAGAGATTTGATATTGTCTCCATATTACACAGTTGTCCATAACAAGTCTCCAACGCTCACTCAGGTAGATAGGAAATTAAATGCAAGATAGAAGCATAGGAGGCCACTGACTCGGGAAGAGAAAGCAGATGAGGCAGCTACAGGCAGCTGCAAGTTGCCTCAAATTCCCAGGCCCCAGTTCTTATGAGGGACTTCTTGATGCAAGTCGTAGATGAGCCAGCAAAGAGATGGGCGCTGCTGGACCTGGTACTAACAAACAGAGACGGTCTGGTTGGAAACGTGAAGGTTGAGGGCAGTCTCACCTGCAGTCATCATGAGATGCTGGAATTCAAGATCCTATGAGGAGGAAGCAGGGCAAAAAGTAGGACTGCGACCCTGAATTTCCAGAGAGATAACTTTGACCTCTTCAATGATCTAATTGGAAGAATCCCTTGGGCCAGCGCCCAAGAGGGAAAAGGGGCTCAGGAGAGTTGGCTAATATTCAAGCATCACTTCCTCCAAGCTCATGAACAACGCATTCCTGCGAGAAAGAAGTTGAGCGGGGGGGCAGGAGACCTGCGTGGATGGGCAAGAAGCTCTTGTGAAAGCTTAAACAGAAGAAAGCATATGTGATGTGGAAAAAGGGACAGACCACTTGGGTGGAATATAGGAACATTGTCAGAGAATGCAAGGATGCAATGAGGAAGGCCAAGGCCTGGTTAGAATTAAATTTAGCAAGAGACATCAAGGATAACAAAGGCTTTTTCAAATACAGCAGCAGCAAAAGGAAGACTAAGGAACATGTGGGTGCACTGCTAAATGAGGTGTGTGCCTTTGTGATGGCAGATACACAGAAGGCAGTTACTGAACGCCTTCTTTGCTTCAGTCTTCATTGCTAAGGCTAGTCCCCAAGCACTATCGAACCTGGAAACAAGAGAAAACCTGGAGAGAAGATGACTTTCCACTGGTTAAGAGGATTGGGTAAGAGGTTATTTAGGCAAGCTAAACACCCACGAATGAATGGGTTCCAATGGGATGCACCTAAGGGTGCTGATGGAGTTGGTGGATGTGATTGCTGGGCCTCTTTCCATCATCCATCAGTGGTCTTGGTCATCCAAAGAGGTCCTGGATGACTGGAGACTCACTAATGTGACACCGATCTATAAGAAGGGTCATAAGGAGGACCTAGGGACCTACAGGCCTGTCAGCCTGCCCTCGGTGCCAGGTAAGGTCAACTTGAAGGCAATCACACAACATGTGCAAGACAATCAGGGGATCAGGCCCAGTCAGCATGGGCTCATGAAAGGCAAGTCCTGCCTGACCAACCTCAATTCCTTCTATGACGAGGTGACCCACCTGGTAGATAAGGGAAAGGCCATTGACATAATCTACCTAGACTTCAGCAAGGCCTTTGACACAGTCTCCTACAGTATTCTCCTGTAGGAGCGGGTAGCCCATGGCTTGGACAGATACATTCTTGGCTGGGTTAAAAACTGGCTGGATGGCTGGGCCCAGAGAGTAGTGGTGAATGGAGTGAAATCCAGCTGGCAACCTGTCACCAGGGGTGTTCCCCAGAAGTTGGTGTTGAGGCCCATCCTCTTTAGTATCTTTATTGATGATTTATTGATGGATGAGGGAATTGAGTGCACCCTCAGTAAGTATGCAGACACCAAGTTGGGGGGGAGTGTAGGATGGTAGGAAGGCCCTGCATGGGGACCTGGACAGGATGGGTTGATAGGCAGAGGCCAATGGGATAAGGTACAACATGGCTAAGTGCTGGGTCCTGCACTTTGCCCACAACAACCCCATGCAGCGCTACAGGCTTGGGGCTATGCAGAGAAAAAGGATCTGAGGGTGTTGGTCAATGCTCTCCTGAACATGAGCCAGCAGAGTGCCCACATGGCCAAGAAGGCCAACAGCATCCTGGCTTGTGTCAGGAATAGTGTAGCCAGCAGGACCAGGGAGGTGATCGTCCCCCTGTACTCAGCTCTGGGGAGGCTGCACCTCAAGCACTGTGTTCAGTTTTGGGCCCCTCACTACAAGGAGAACATCGAGGCCCTGGAGAAAGTCCAGAGAAGGGCTACGAAGCTGGTGAAGGGCCTAGAACACAAGTCCTATGAAGAGCAGCTGAGGGAACTGGGGTTGTTTAGTCTGGAGAAGAGGAGGCTCAGGGGAGACCTTATTGTTCTCTACAGCTACCTGAAAAAAAGGTGTGGAGAGCTGGGGGTTGGCCTCTTCTCACAGGTAACCAGCCAGAGGAAATGGCCTCACTGTGCACCAGGGGAGGTTTGGGTTGGAAATTAGGAGACATTTCTTCTCAGAATGAGTTGTCAGGCATTGGAACAGGTTGCCCAGAGAGAAGATGGAGCCACCATCCCTAGGGGTGTTTAAGAAAAGTTGGATGTGATGCTTAGAAACATGGTTTAGTGGGTGATATTGGTGGCATGGGGATGGTTGGACCAGATGATTTTGAAAGTCTTTTCCAACCTTAATGATTCTATGATTCGAATATTCTGAATTGGAAGGGACCCACGAGGATCACAGACCAACTCCTGAGATAGGGCAACCCAAAAGTTAAACCGTATCTCAGAACACTGTACAAATGCTCCTTGAACACAAGGCCGTGACCACTTCCAGGTAGAGCCTGTGCCAGTACCTGACCACTTTCTCAGTGAACATTTTTTCCTTATGCCCATCAGAACATCCACTGATGCAGCTCTAAGCCTTTCCCTCACATCCAGTCACCAGAGAAAAGAGATCATCTCTTCCCTCTTTGCTGTCCACCTTTTTCTTTAGAGGAAGCTATTAGGTTACCTCCTCAGTTTCCTATTTTCTAAGCTGAATGAGCCAGTATCCTCAGCTGCTGCCACAAATCACCTCCTATAGGACATGTCCTTTCACCATTTTTGCTGTCTTCCTTTGAACACATTCTCAAATTTTTGTGTAAATCTTATTTTGTGGAGCCCTAAACCACACACAGTACTTGAACCAAAGCCACAGCAAGTATAGCGAAGTAATCAGTTCTTTTAATCAGTTAACTACACTGTGCTTAACACACCCCACAATATATTGCTGTCTTTGGTATTGTCACATTGTTGAATTTATTGAGCTTTCCATTAACCCAAAACCCCCAGGGCTGCACTCCAGCCACTTGCTCCCCATTCTATGTATGAAGGCAGGTTTGCACCATCTCACGTGCAGAATCTGGCATTTACTCTTGTTAAATTTTATATGGTTGTACAATTCTGTAGTCTATCAATATCTCTCCTGAAGGCCTCTCTGCCTTCAAGGGAATCAATAGTTTCTTTAAATTTAGTGATGGCCACACTAGCATTTGGTGTGCACTCACTGAAATGCATGATATTGGTATTTTTGTAAATACTATATGCACAGTTTTACTGAGCTAAAATTAAATTTGGTTTTAATTTAGGACAATACCCTATCACTACAGTCTGATCATTTTAAATATATTTTATCCTCACAACACCTCTCTATTATTAACCTGCATGTACAAAGGGGGACCTGAATCATAGATTAAGTCACTGATGCATCTAAGTCACAAACAAATCTTGGTGCAAAGAGTAAAATTCAGACCATGTCTTGCAAATTCTACATCATGTGGCCTCAGAACATGGAAGCATTTCCAAAAAAGAGTTCTCTGATCAGGTCCACAGACCTGCTTCAACAGGATACTTTTGTTTTTATTCAGTCTTAACTTCCTAAGATTTAGTCCAGGAATACAAACACATAGCGCTTACATATTTCCCTTGGATTACCTCAGAGCCAACCAAGCATTTATATCAGCTCCATGCCTGTTTTACATGCCTTCTTCAAGAATTAATCCCTGCTTGAGGCTATTGAAAGAGTTAAAGCAGTGATTCACCAGAAAATCACTGCATTCCCTTTATTACATTATTAGGAACATAGAAGCATATTTTAAAATATTTTTTGTAGTTCAATAAAGTTAAAAAAATTCAGGTAAAGTTGTTTTTTTTTTTCCCCCAAAGAAACTAAGGTCAAATATGATCTAGCAGGGAAAAAAGCATCAGCGGGGCACTGAATCCAAACTTTTGCTAAGTAGTTAGATCACATTTGAGTATTATGGATCTATTATAGAACTGGATACAGAACAGTGTCCATATTCCCATACTTTTAGAAAACACTTTAACAGTACCACAAATATTTTATTTCACCAGTTTATTTGAATATAATCAATAATGAATTCATTCCAATTATTTAAATGGCACAGCACAACAATGTCAAGCCAAAAAATGTTGTGTTAAAATCTTCACTTGTACTCTTAGAACACTAACAATTTATCTGTACTAAGATACTACAAATCGTGCATTTCTGAGTAATTACTGAAATTCTCAACTTGCTAAGTAATTCAGCCTTCAAAGTTACAATATGCCCAAGGCTGCAATAGTCCTTCAGAAACATAACACTCCTCATACCCTAGTATTTAATTCAAAGTGTTTTGCAGGGATCCCATTTAATCGATCCTGCTGACACTTCTTTATTTACAAAAGAAGTTTCTAAATAAAGTTAAACTATGCAAACATAACTAACTTTTTTTTCTTGAAATGTAAACCAAAATAAAACTGAAAAAATCCCAGCCCACTGCTTTTATAACTAAAATAGTTATGTGTGTTTTTGATCCAATTTTCCATTTTTAATTAAACAAGTTAGTAGTTTTACTAAATTGTAACTCAGGGGTAACATCTTTGCTCAAGTCAAAATTCCCCACTAAGGTGAGTGAGGTCAGGATTGCCCTGTGCACCTACCTACACAAGCAGATCTATTTCCAAACTGATTTGCAACATTTCTGCTTTGGCACATCAGGTATCTATGTTCACACCACCTTACATCACCTGGTTGCCTACACTTATACACTTAGTGCAATTTATGCTGGTTATATGTTGTTCTGTGGCAGCCCCTCTATAAGCCCTCAATCAAGAGCTGAAACATAAATGCGATAATAGTTATATAATGAAAAGGTAGTCAGATATGTACTCCAGCATCAAATGAAATGTGTTCAACTTACCAAAGTCAGATGAATTCATTTCTACTAGGTTTTCCAGTCTGTATATTTGCTGCCTAATTAAAAGGATACAAATGTTTACAGTATTTGTTACAGGTAGAAGTTCTTTACATGCATTTTAGTAAAGTTTTAAGAATAAAAGAGAGAGGTAAGGATTATTCTTTACTTTGTATTTCTGAAAAAAGCTCATACAAACATAACCTGGGAAATAGTATAGTGGAAGATTACAAACACATCTACCTATGTAGGAATGATAATAGAGTTTATTCTTGGTTTTGAGACATGAAACAGAGTAACAACAAGTATAAAATTAGGCAAATAGCAGGAAAAAACAAACACAAACACAAAAGCCATTCATTGTAAGTGATCTTTTCATAGATGTAGTAACTTCATATTTCATCACAAAATAAACCTGGAAGTTAGCCCTCACAGCATACACTAAGTTCATCTCTGAAAGAGCACTAGGAAATTCTGCCAGCAGTTTTTCCTTCTTCCTCCACAGAGCAGTCTGCCGCTTAATTTGAGCACAAAGGGTTAAAGACAACAATTATAACAGAGTAAAAGAAGTGTCTCTAAAAAAGTTAAAACTCAATTCAGTTTCAGGGCAGTAGGTGGAGGATGAGAAAGACAATTTTTAAGGCTGCTAACTGCCACTGGAAATGAAAAATAAAGAAAAGCTGTAACATCGGTAAGTACTTGGCCATATTCTGCAGCAACTGTTATTTTCAAGTGGTCTTCAAGCATAGTCTCCAGAGAGACAACATGGTAATAAACTGAATACATGAAAAGCACAACTGTATAAAACAGACTGAAAGAAAATGGGGAAGGAGCTCTCTGCCCTATTATAGTGTCGAAGTATTATAGCGTCCTTACAGTGTCAAAGCAGCAACTACTGAAAGATTCAAAAGCAGGATACTTGGATTCAACGCAGATCAAATGTTCTCAGGAAAAATAAAAAACACTTTGGAAAGTATTAAGAACTCACGAGGATCCAAAGAATTAGGTTCCAACCTGCATATTAAAGGGCTACCACATATTAAAGTTACCTCCCTTAGCTCTTCCTTGCTTGTATAAAACCATGTCAGCTACCTAAGATTGGAAAAACAAACAAACTACACACAAATGGCTAGAAGTAATCAAAGCTCAATTTCTGCATGAATTTTTCAGTTATTTCAACAACATAGAAAGAAAAGAAGACTAAAACTAGAAGACTTTAGGAGGGCTGTGGGCCAAAGGTTAAAAAACACATAGAAAGGAGATGCACAAAAAAAGGCTCTCCACTAAATTGACAGAAGATGTAATACAGTCTGCTTGTAAACTCACAAATGGGGCATGACAAGCATAACAAAGATGTCATCAGTTTAATAAGCCATTTTAATTTCATTTTGCATTTGTACCTCAAAGACTAATGCTCATTAGTTGTTACTCATTAAATCATTTGATTTGCAGATAAATATTTGCAGCTAAACTGGTACTTCTGTTTAGTAATCAAAGATACATTGTCTTACAATACACACACACAGTTAAATAGCTCTTACTTTGATTCACATCCTCAGTCACAAAAAATTACAGGTAAAAATTCTTTTTACTATGCAATTATTGTTTTTAATTTTAGGTGTGCTGTATTACACAGTTATTTATTAAAATGTTAAATGATCTTCAATATTGTGGACACAAAAAAATTACTGAGTTGCCATTAGCATGGATTTGAACATAGATATTATCTGTACTTGATAAGTTGAACTGTTCCCAGCTACCTTGTTCTCAAGAATCAGTATAACGTGTACTTTTCACATATGATTTCCACTCTGGAAAAGGAACTTTCCTGCCTTCAGTTGTCAACTGGTCTACAAATGAAAGCATTCCATTTTATGACTGGACAAATGAACTGAAAGAAGATCTTTGCAAATTTGCAAAATTAACATATCAAATTGGATGCTAAAAGGGATACAGTGTTTCTTTCAACCAAGTTATTCTATTTGCTTGGTTATCTTTTTTTTTTTCTTAAACCACAGTGAAGTAAAGCCTTGTGTCAAATGAGTAGAGTTAAATAATACTGCTTTTAATACACCTATCATCTATGCCTTCATGTTTCAATAGCCAGATCCCGCTAATAATGTTTCACATCACACTCTTGGTCATACTCTAAAAGGATGGAAGAACCTACTGCAATCAAAGGAATGGTAGAATATATCACATATTTGTACAATCATACAAGAGCTCCTCTTCCATCCACTCTGTGTGCTGTACATTCTGAGGATTATCAGTAGCAAAGAAGATTATCGGTGATCTGTGTATTTGCATTGACCAGATTAAACATCTGTATTGAATTAATCACACTGAGTAACTGTATCTGAAGAGATTGCTGAAGCTATCCTAATCCAAACAACTGAAGAAAGTGCTGCATCAAGCATTTAAAATACTTAATTTGTAACCTCCACTCTTCCTTTTGCACAAAAAGTCTTAAGATCTTCAAAAGACAATTTTGATTAGATGTGTAGCAGAGTCTTATTCATGGAAAGGTTAACGCAATTTATTCATATACCACTGAAGCTAGAGCCTTCTGAATTGATCACAACACCACTGTAATAACTATATTTATCAGTTTTAACTGGTGATGGCTAAGATTTGCTCCACACTGTCTAGAAACTTAAGTTACATAGTATTACAAATCCAACACAAGATTTCTGATGCAAGATTTACTTCTTCCCTTAATTCCACTTGTGTCTTATTCATTACTTACAGTAGAGTTACATAGATATTAAGATCTCTGTACAAACATTGCATGGCCCACAGTCTATTAGGATTTTACTATCAAAAACTTGAAGTTTTTTCCATCCTTAAAGTAAACTGATATAATTACAGAGAGGATTAATCACTATATACACTAATATCATCATACCTGAGTAATCCAAAGAGAAATCCACAGGATTCAACTAGTGCCATTTCAGTAACCCACTGAAAACCAAACATGTCCACTACATCTTCTTCGTAATCATTTGGAGCAGGATCTAGTCTCAGCAAAACCCTGTAAAACAGATCCAACATTCCTTAGTAATAAACTGAAAGAACAGAATACCTACAGCTAGCTTGTGTATTACTGATATTTTATAAATGTACCAGCAATGCATAGGAAGGTGTAGAGTGCTCTCAGAAGAGAGGCTGTTATGCCTTTTTTGTAAAGCAACATAGCATATAAAGTATGACAAGCTTTAGCTTCAATGGCATAAAAATATGGTCTAGTCACAGGGCACAGTAAATTTTAGAAACAAAGGAAAAATCGACAAGATACTACCTTAGAGAGGGGCCCATCTGAGGCATAACATACAGACTGGCCATAACAGAAGAGGCCACTACATTAGGTGACAGTCTGAGAGTTTGTTTTGAATTTGTTAATGTATACTATAGGCCTAATAACCAACTATAGAACATACATTTACTAGTTTACAGTATGCCATTTTAATAATTTTTCATATAAAATACACTGACAAAAGCATACCAAGAAAGCACACTTTTAGGTATCTGAATTGATAAGGGTCACAGAATGCAACTTCATTATTATAACTTAACCTAACACTAGGCCATGACTGCCCTTTGCTCTGGCTTAAGTAAAAAAAATACAAAAAAAATCAGAGGTACTATTTTATTCAAACTGAAGAAAGTCAGGCATCAGTATAAAGTGTAAAAACAAGTTTTACCTGAAGTATTTTCTTAACATACCAATTTTGTAAATATAAAAGTATTTCTCTAATGCAATAAAAAAAAAAAAAATTCACAGCAAGGCATATAATAAAGACAAAGATTTCAAGAACTATTTCAGAATTTTCCCACTGACTTTCATAAAATACTTCAGCTGAATTCATCAAGGTGCAAGAAATGTCTATTTTACAACCAAAGAAAACGTTGTGGGCAAGCACTTGGTTTTCATTATATTATACGCTAAATTCATATTTTCCTTGAACTATGCACTATTACCAATTCAGTCCTCAATCAAAGGCAAAAAAAGCATCTGCTGAATAATCAGCTCAGTTTCCCACAACATCTGTAGCTCACTTGGTAACTGCCTACATATTGCTGGGTTTTGAAGCCTTTAGCAATTAAATCCAGTTACTCCTGTTCTAGGTAATGAAGACAGAGGAGTCCCTCACATGCAGGCTTTTCCAGGAGTTTACAAACCAATTAGATAAGGTGAATAAAGGACACAACAGAATTATCATGATGGTAGTAACTTGGTAAACCTGTTTACACAGAAGTCCCTGAGTGAGTTTTCATATGAAATTGTTTCTGTCATGGAATGCATTCTTTGTCAATGTGGAATCCACTGCTGATACATCCACAAAAACAGATTCTCTCACTCCTGTACTTGACATTAATGTGAATGAAAGTGCTCTGATCCAATAAAGACATGATAAATAAGGTAGGGATTGGGGGAGGCAGGGTTTTTAAACCCCTTTGACGGCTTTACAGAAAAGCCTGTGGAAGTAAAACAAACAAAAATAATAACATAAAACATAACACTTGGCAGGAGAAAGCCACAGTAAGTAGGTTCAACAGTACAACGGAATTGGGAAAGAAAAATTGTGCTTTTTTCCTAGAAAAAACAAGACAACCCCTGCAGGATCAGCAAATTACACAGACAGCTAAGCTGGATCACAGACAGAAAGAAGGTATTAACTAAAGCAAAATTTTACAACTTCACAGAAAATACTTACTTGTTACATATGACTTCTGAACCTTAAATCCAGAATGCATGCAGAGCTAAAGCTTTGAAAAAGATGGTATTAAAGCTCTGAAGTGTACTCCCAGAAGCCTCAGAAAGCTGGACAAAGCAGTTTGTTTCTATTACATGTATAACAGAGAAAGGGCCAGTATCCAGAAGAGCATACAACTGGAAAAAGCAGTGCTGCAGCCTCCACAGAAATTTAAAGGTTCTTAGATACTGTTGCCAAAGCCAATTTTGAAGTGTTTTTCCACAAAAGCTCTATCAAGTCTGTAACAATATCTTAAAATAAGCTCACAAAACTAGGATCTAGACAATAAACTCAAAGCAGAGTATCAAAAAAATTGCCCTCCATGCTTTGGAGGCTCAGAGCTGATAATATAAGCTGAAGAATAAACTCATTTGGAAACCCTCTCAGCATTTCAGAGGTACAGTGGAAACAGTGGAAATAAATATAGTATCTTTTTAGTATGCTGTAACTCAAAAAAACAAACCAACATACCTCTTAAGAGACCCACTTGCTAAGTAAGATTCTGCAGAGAAGATTCTTCCCCCACTTTGGTTGTCAAAAGCACAGGAAAAACAAGAAGGCTTTGAGTTCTCATTCTCCACCTCCATTGCCATCTCCAAGCTTTCAGTGAGAAGCGGGGGCGTGAAGGAAGCCATAAAGTCATCATCGTCCATTGTTTCCATCTCTTCCAGAAAACAAACAGATAATATTAATTAATTAAAATGCAACAACAACAGCATTTTTTATAACAAACTTCTCATTGTTACAGCTCTCCATAATCCTTTAGCTCAAGCGAGGACAATATCAGCTTAACCATAACATCAAACTAAGAGATGCCACCACAAAAGTAAGTCTTGGTTCCACGCCCTGCCATGTAATTCTGGTTTGTGCAGCTTCATCTACCCCATCCCAACCTGCTCAGGAAGATACATCAACAAAAAGCTAAACCTTAAAAAAAAAAAAAAAAAAGATAATTCTTTTTCTTCTGGCTCAGCTCTATATATTGACTAGTTATGATGAGGTCAGACTAGCAGTAGGCTAGAGGAAGCGGCAGGGACAAAGTACAAGGAAAAGAGAATGGACAAAAAGAGAATGGACATGCAACACTTTGCAACACTTTAGCAACCCTTTGTTCTGTGAGCAGTAACTGTATCAAGAAGACACATCATGCCTTACAGGCTCCCAGTTGTCCATGTCTTTAAGGCAGTGTTGTAGTTCAAGTTCCTTCTGAGAAGCAATAAATATACACCACACAATAATTACTGAACCTCGAAATGCTGAGGTTAAAAGGCTTAGAAAACGACTGAATTTTACATAGCCAACACAAAGTTTCTACATAAGTTCTGACCTCCCAGAGGTCTGACTGAGGGACACAGAAGCAAGAACAAAGAGGAAGATCACATCCAGAAGTACACTGCACCCTCAACACCAGTGAACGGGTTTACACATGACAGTGGAAGAGCAGAACTTGGCAAGAGGTAGCACTAAGTTCTACAATGATAAGAAGGCGATATAACTAAGATTATTAAGGCTAAGCTAATGGTTTTTAAAATAGCTTAAGCCTTTAATCGCATAGTTGGCAGGTTTTGTACTGCTCTCGCATAAGCAAACTCACACTGCAGCCAGAGGACGGTAATGCAGAAGCTGGACTAGAAAAGGGCTCAAGTTCAAAACAAACTAACTAACTAACTAACTAACTAACAGCTGAGTTCCTGCCCCCCTTTCCTCCCTCCTCCCCCCTCCTGCAGAAACACGCAGGCAACGGGACGGCCCCACCGCTGCCGCAGGTTCCCAAAGCACCGGCAGCAAGCACCGTACCGCGGCACACGGAGCCAGACGCGGCCCTTCGCGGTCACGGCTCACAGCCCCGCTCCCCTCCCGCCGCCTCCCCTCCGGGCCGACCCCGGGCGCCGCAACGGCTGCGAGCCCGCAGCAGTGGGGCAAGAGGCGAGGCCGGGCCGGGCCTCTCGGTACCTGGGGGCGCCGCCTCCCCAAGGGCTCCCGGGCGCTTTTCCGTACGGCCCGCGCGCCTCCGCCGGGCCAGCGCTGCGCAGGCGCCGCGGCGCCCATTGGCCGCCGGCTGCTCCTCCTCTTCCTCCGCCTCCTCTTCCCCTTCCCTCCCTTTGCTGCTCCCCGCCTCCGCCTGCCTGGCCTCAGCCCCGGCGGGTCGGGGCGCCCCGCAGCCCGTGGCTGATCCCGGTGCCCGCTCCAGCCTGCCCCAGCCCCAGCTGCTTCCCGTTGTGCCCGTGCCCCCAGCGGGCTCCGCACGGGGCTGTGCTCACATAATTACAGAATGGGTTGGAAGGGACCTTAAAGCCCACCCAGTTCCAACCCCCTGCCATGGGCTGGGACACCTCCCACCAGACCAGGCTGCCCAAAGCCCCATCCAGCCTGGCCTTGAGCACCTCCAGGGATGGGGCATCCACAGCTTCTCTGGGCAGCCTGTGCCAGGGCCTCACCACCTCTGAGTGAAAAATTTCCTCCTTATAGCTAATCTAAATCTGCTACCTTTTACTTTAAAACACTTCTCCCTTGTCTAATTAACCAGTTGAGCGAAGAGTCTCTCTCCATCTTTTTTATAACTCCCCTTTAAATACTGAAAAGCTGTGTTAGTGCCTGGTGGGCTCCTCACAGGCTCACTTCTTTAATTCAGTGGGGGCTTCGTGCCAGCTACTTGTCCCCTCCTCTAGCTGTTGGTCCCTTCCCCTTGGTGACCCCAAGTCCACTGTGTTTGCTGGCATGGGGCGGTTGTTTCTGGCCACATCTCATCTGAGCCAACTGCCTTCTAGTAAATCCCCCAATCACTCTGCCACTTCTAAATCTTCCGGTATGTCAACAGTCTGCTTTTTCTGATTCCTCTTAGTCTAGCTGTCAAATTTCTATCCCAAAACCTCATTTTCCTCCTCTTTTTTTTCTCTGCCACCTCACCTCGTTCGTTCCCATCCTTCCCAATAGCAAGTCATTTCTGATGCCTGACAAACCCTTATCCATCCTCCCTGCGTGGTCAGGCAGTGCTCCTGGCTCTAAATGAGCAATTTTCATCGAGCATGGGAAGTGTTTATTGCATTTGAAGCCCAAGCTGGGCTTTGCTGTTCTCATTTACCAAATGAGCTGTGTCAGTATTATTATATCATTGGCTGTATCAGTAACCACAAGTGTAGGGGCCAAGGAGAAGGTCCTAAAGCCTTTACCTGGCATGACCTAGGTTAAAATAGATACTGTGTACTTGGTGGCTTCTGGTTCTTTTCAACATTTATTGCATTATTTTGGGTGTCCTGATTTGATTTCATTTCAGAATGCATTTCAAGTTTTGCTTGTGTGTGTAAATCAGCAGCGGTGCCTGAAACTTTTGTTCCTAACAAGAAAGTTACTATAAAAAGTTTTGCCATTGCTGCTACAGCTCACTGCAAAAACTCTCTTGTGATTAAAAATGCTTCGTTTGCTCTTGTGTATGCAAGAATCCCTCATTTCCTTCTCTAAATTCCTGTCTAATTAAAAAAACAGTACATCATGGTTAAATAAAACTGTACCCTGGATAACCCTGATTTCCATATGCAGATTTATCTGCACTGACAGCCCCCTCTCCCTCTCTTAGTCTTTCTATTTCCTCTCTCTCCCTCTCCTTCTCTCTCTCTCCCTCATTCTCTTTCTCCCTCTTTCTCTCCTTCTCTCTCTGTCTTTTTGTCTCCCCTTATGTCTCTTGCATTGTGCCTGAATAATTTTCAGGGATTTTTTTTTTTTTTTCTCTCTTGCACGCACATGCTAAAAGAACTAGACAAAGATGCAAGGTGTTTGCTGCAGTCCCTGTCTCTAGGAAAAAATAAAACAACAAGAAAGCTCATGATTGCAATGCCACCTTTTCTTTTCTTTCTTTCCTTTTTTTTTTTTTTTCTTTTCCACTCATGCTCGGTGATTAAACTTCCCCAGGATGAAAAAGGAGCTGGAATTGAAATAGGGCTGAGGAAAAGACCATTGCAGCAGCTGCAGTCAGTGGTGTCTACTGCCAGATGTGCTAAGGTTCCTGGGCTCCTTGACACTAAAAGGCAGCATAAAAATATTTGGAGACAAAAGCTGCATCCTCAGTGATGATTCTCTTTATTTAACATGGCAGCAGGCACCGTGTGGGAGAAAATCAACATGCTGGATGTTGAATTGGACTTTCCTCCTTTCTAGGATGAAAGGATGTTATCTATCCCGTGCCAAGAGGGAGCTGAGGTAAGAGAGCTGATCCAGCTCCTGCTTTTTCATCATATATTTTAAGCATCTTTTTTGAAACAACGTATATATAGATGTTTATATATTGGTATGTTTGTATATTTGTGTATTCGGTTTCAAGTCAGTAAGTGGTACAAGGTTGTTTTTTTTTTCTTGTCTTCACATCAGCCCAGAGAAAGTTAATTCACAATATATATTCAGAGCTTGTTCCGAAGGGTCATTTTGTAGGTTTTTTTTGAATACGTTTTTGTTTCCAAAGAAGACCTCAGCAGTGACATCATGGTCGACTGCTGATATTAAAACCGATTTGCAAAGTCTTAAAGAAAAGGCACTAACTTTGCAACATGAAATTATGCTTAGAGATTCTTAATGCTCTATTTTTTCATTGCATTCTCAATATTGGAAGTCTTATTAAAGTGATAGTGAGATTTTTTTTTATTTTTATTATTTCTAGCACAGAAGCGATGAATGCTGCATAATTAAGTACAGTATTTAATTTGGCTGTTGTGAAGCAAAAGAATAAGGTAATAATTTTTATTGTACTAATCAGACTCAAGATGTTCTCTGTGTTAATTGGGTTAAAAAAATTGCAGTACTTATTAGAAATTCTAATTTCACAATGCAGCACTGACAATAAGCTCAGCCAGTGAATTATTCACATCTTTAATTTGCTCTCTTAATGACAGTGTTCTGTAATCAGAGTGCAGAGACTGCTTCCTATGCATTATGTATGATGTTCAGGACTTAAATGCAGGACATTATGAAGCCTCTCAGTGGCTCAGTAATTAGTTTTCCACAAGACAGGGCTTAGATATTCACAGATAAAAGTCTACAGTTGAGATAATGTTAAGGTGGTGACTCATGCTAACAAAAGCAGGGAAGTTCAAATTTAATGCTGAAACTACTCTCCATTCTCACTCATTGTGCTTAGGTGCAGGGGGAGGGGAAGAAAGTCTCCAAAACCAGCCCGGGATGGTGAGTACAGGGCAGGCAGCCCAAGGGGGCAGGCTGGGGTTCATTTCACTCTTTTTGGCAACTTTTTTAATTTGGAGGATGGAGGTGGAGTTGTGCTTTGTGGCTTTTTTTTTTTTTTTTTTTTTTAAAGGTTAAGCAAAGAGCAATAATGTACACATCATTAGAGACAGAATGTCTATAGCAGAGACTCCACGTATTTTAAAATTTTGGGTTTTATCTGACGCAGAAACATTTGTAACCGCTGTCAAATGGCAGTGCTTTGAAGAGGAGCTACTTTGTTGAGTGCAGAAACTTTGAGAACACCTGATGCTCACTGTATTGCTGTTGTGCCATTCTCGGTTGTCATGGTCTGTACTGTATATGCATTTTACAAAACGTGTTATTTTTCTAACAGCTCAGTTCTCACCATCCAAAACATGATTTAAAATGCAAGTTTGTTCTTTTTTTTTTTTTTTTTTTCTTCCTTGTATCATTCGCATGGTGTTAAATCAGATGATTGAAATGTAAGAAATTTGCACAGTTTTGCAATTTCCCTACTTATATATGCTGCTTACTGTAGAATGAAACAACTCAGGAATGTTGAAATGAAGTTGGAGAGTGTTACTTTTTCATACTTAGTGGCTTGTCAGACTGGCAGCCTTACATTTATCCTGAGCTCTCACAATAGAACAACCATAAATTTTATTGGAAATAAAGTAGGGTGAGTAGAGGTAATTTAATTATTTTGTGTACTGCTCTGAAGTAAACATATTCTCATGCAGTGTTTACAGGGTTATTATTATAGAGATTAAAGATGATCTACCATTAAAATTTTTAGACTTAAAAACAAAAACATGCAACCGAATGAAACCAAACAACAAAACCACCCCCCCAAAAAAATACCACTCAATATCAATGGTAAGGTACGGATACAGGGTTAAGAATTTTGGGTATATCTAGAATTTTGAGGGAAAACAATCTGAAGCTAATTAATTTTGAAAATTTCCATCAAAGACTACATCTGGAATTCCATGTTATTAGCAGCTGTTGCTAATATTGGCCAGCTCTAAGGCCATGGAACCAGTTAATAAGTCACAGCTTTTGGCAAGCAAAGTGCTGTATGGTGTTAGATGTTAGATTAGATGTTATGTTCATGCATCGTCCAGTCCTGGAAGTAATTATTGTTGAATTGTTGAATAAAGAAGTTGCAGACTAGATCAATGTAGCTAGGTGATCCATAACTAAATTATTGCATCAGAATCCAAGTGATCGTCTTCATTAAGAAGTTGACTGAGTCATTTACAGAATATGACTTTCATTCCAAGTCAAGGTCCCACATCTAATTACACTGATGTGTGGTATTGGTATCATACAGCTGAAAAGGACTCCAAACGTGTGTCGTGCCTACCCCCTGACTCTTCCTTCAAAGCCAGGATCAATAAAATTTATCTTTCTTAATGGATGCTTGCTGACTTTCTCTTTAAAGATTTTTTATGGTTAGTTACCTAAATAATCTGTTCCAGTGTTTCACTTGCCTTACCATTAGAAAGTTTTTCCTGATTTCTGATATGAAACTTTACTTGCTAAAAGTTACTTGCACCTGCTACTTTTTGCACTGTTTTTACAGGGAATTTATTTTACTCTTTGCAGCAGACTTATGCATATTTGAGATCCTTAATCATATTCTCATTGTTTTATTCTCTTAATAAATCCCAAATTGTTCTTTTCTTCCTTATTGAAAGAAAAGGTTAGTTTTCTCTTTTATGTCAGATCACTATTTCTTGCTCTCATCTGAAATGCACATCTCCAGATTCAGGCATGATATTACAACTGAAATTCTACATTTTCATTTAAATAAAGGTAATATTCTATTTTTATTTTTAAGGAAGGCTTAACAATATGACTTTCATGTTACAGGTGTAATGATATTTGTTAATCCAAGATACAATCTAGAACAATGTGAAAAGATTTGTTTGAACAAGTTTTTAGTTCACAGTTTTATGCTCCAATGAGTATCCTTTAGGGATAAATTATCCAATAGCCTTAACTCTCATGGTGAGTACCTGGCTTTGACCCGATTAATCATGTCCAGATGTGGGCCATCATACTTAAAGCGTAAAATCCTCAGTGGATTGTTTCAGAGTGCAGAAGCATTACTGAAGTGTCAAAATTTTAGACTGTGCCCTGTGCCCTGCTGTAGTTTAGTTAAAATCTGAATTTTTCCACATATTCCCAGTTGGATTGGACAATCCCAGTTTGAAACAATAAGAATATCAGGTGAGAAAACTACTTATGGAAGTAGCAAGGACATTCGTGACAACTAGGAATTAAGGTAGTGCAGCAAAAATGAGTGGTTTGCTTTAGATTAAAAAAAAAAAAAAAGGCTAGAAATTAGCACATTCCAACTAGCCTAACCTAGCCTAACAAACTTGTTTTACATCTGAGTTGTGTATGTATGAAAGAGCAAACTGTGGTTTACCCAGGCTGTTATAGTGAAATGAAGGTCAATTCATTTTTAATCCTGAGTAAGGAAGGGCCCACTATCATTCCTAGGTCAGAGGAAGACAGTTCATGCATGCTTGAGTTTCTGTGGAATGGCAGGAGAACATCACTTCTGAAGCCACAATGGAAGAGACATGGCTGAAAAATTAGAGATGACTTGTGATATTTACAGGGGATCAGCGCTGATGTATACTGATCATGAAGACATAGTGGCTATCAAAGAAAAGTTTAAGGGCCTTTATGTGAATGCACAGGTATCTAATTCATATGTTTAAAATGTTACACTTTTACTGTCCTCTTCCAGTGCTTAGGAATATTGCAAGGTTTTTTGGAGTGATCTGATTCATATTTCTGTACTTGTTGTAATATCAAAAAGCCAAGAAACTATTTATAATGCAGTGCAATTCTTAGTAATATATGTAATAAAAAGTTGAGGAAAATCAACACACAATATACTTACAGGAGTGCTATTTTCTGCTTTTATATTGCTCCAGAATCAAGGACCATTACAAATATTAGGTTCTGAAGTGGTATGATGATTTAAGTATTCCAAATGTCTTCTCCTAATCTAGCCTAATAATGCAGTCCTTTCACATGCATAATTCCCATGAAAATCAGTGGGAGTAATACATTGTAGAAGGAATAATGGATACATATGCCAGAGTGTCTTCCTTTTGAGTCATCATCTTAACTTGGGTGGCAAAGAATAAGGCTAAGCAAAAGAAACAAATATTCAGGGTGGATAGAAAGTGAGTTATTGATAATATTTTGAATTCCAAATTTATTTGTTTCTCCATTGAAAGATATAAGTAAATAGAATGACAGTAATCAGAATATCTGATAGACATCTCAAAGACATTTATGTTTACCAGTGTTTTCCAGGAAATATTGCACAAGTGGATCATATGCATTCCATTCTGCAAAATTCCATATAATTTACACAATATGAAGAATACCAACCTATGTATAGGTTTTATAAAGTACAATAGTGATAAATATTCATACTATAATCTCAGTTTGGGCTTTTTTTGCAAAGTTAAACTAGAAATAGTGTAAATGTGCTGTATGAATTCACATATTCAATCTTCTATAAAATGTAAATCCATAAAATGTTACAGTTCTTATCTACATTCATAGTAGGCCAGAAAAAAATAGTAAGGATACTTAATACTGCACAAAAACATCTTGCTGCTTCAAAACAGCTTCTCTTCTGTCTTGTCATCTGCTCATATTTTCTGTACTCTCCATGTACAGTGTTCTCTTTCAGTATTCTCTGCAACTTGCTCTCATGCTAGGAATTATTTCATATTCCTCATTAAAAAAGATTGATCCAGCTTCCATTGTTCACTTGCTAAATTTTCAACCATTCTTCTCAAACTTTTCCCCATGCTTTGTTTGAAGCTCAGGAGGCTTTTACTATTCCCAAAGCATCCCTCCTTAAAACTCTCTTTTGTTATGTTGTTACAAGTTGGCAACAGTTAGGCTGCTGATGCCCTTGAAATCTCTTCTTGTCAGACTTTCTTTTTTCATTATTTTCACATAGTATCCCATTTCTTGTATCTCTATGTTCAGATTGTAAGGTCTCTAGTGAAAACGTGTTTTTTCCTCTGCTTGTAGAGAAAATCAAAAGGAATCTTAGGTTCTGTCTTAATACAACAAATAATCGCAACAGTAGTAATACAAATAATGCACACTGCATGGTTATTTAAACTGCTACTCTTGATTCCTAGTAATGCAGACAGACTTTTGAACTTCTAGCAACTTATTTGCAATTAAATTCCATCTGGATCCTGGAAAATTGTCAGGTTGGTGCAGTAGGAAACTAAGGAAGAAAGAGACTGAATACAAGCAAAGCAAAACTCATCCTCAAAATATTTCAGAGAATTCAGTGCTCTCTGTTTATTATCTGTGCTTCTCCTATGTAATACTCCTCCATCAAAAGGATACTAGGCCCAATAACATTTATGCTGGAAGCTTTTTGTCTCTTGGGTACATTAATTGGTTCCTACAAGACATACTCTGTAGGTATGGCTGATAGATTGTATCAGTCCAAATGCAGACCGAGGGTTGGTATTTATTGTTATTATTATTAGTTTGTTTATTTATTTATTTTCCAGAGGAAACAGCTTTGGCTGAGAGTGGCTGTGGTGGAGCAAAAATTCTCCGTAGAAAGGAGAGATCATAAAGTAGGGTGGGAGCATCATGGTGCAAAGAGGGGTCAGGATGTTGAAAGGCAATGCAGCCTTCTGGTGAGCTGGCTGGCAGAGGGGTCCATGAAGATAGATATGGACAGATATGGAAATGTCACTGAAATAACGAGGACTCTTAGAACCATGAGCTCTCAAAGATAAATGTGTGCAGGCTTTAGAATCAAGGTCGGCCTGGGAGAGGACTGTCGGGACCAGGCAACATCGACAAGGAGGAGTTTGTTCAAAGAGTGTGGTAGAGAAGATGATCCACAGTTGTGGAGGAATCAGTGCTTTAGAGATGTAGAGATACATATGTTCTAGATGTTGGAG